CAGATATAAATCCATGCATATATGGCCAATTAATATGCAATAAAGGAGCCATGAATATCCAGTGTGGGGGAAAAAACAGTTTCTAACAACTGTTGTTGGGGAGATTGGACAGCTACATGCAAGAGAATGAAACTGGATTATTGTCTAACTCCATACACAAAAGTAAACTCACAATGGATCAAAGACCTGAATGTAAGTCATGAAACCATAAAACTTTTAGAAGAAAACGTAGGCAAAACTCTCTTGACTGTAAACATGATCAACTTTTTCCTGGACACATCTCCTTGGGCAAGGGAAACAAAGCAAAAAATGAACAAGTGGGAGTACATCAAACTAAAAAGCTTCTATCAGCAAAGGACACCATCAGTAGAACAAAAAGCCCACAGTATGGGAGAATATATTAATAAATGACTCATCTGATAAATGGTTAACATCAAAATATATAAAGAACTCATACGTCCCAACACCCAAAATACAACCCAATTAAGAAGTGGGCAGATGACTGAACAGACATCTGCTAAAGAAGAAATATAAATGGCCAACAGGCACATGAAAAGATGCTCCACATCACTAATCATCAGAGAAATGCAAATTAAAACCACAATGCAATATCACCTCACACCAGTTAGAGTGGCCATGATCCAAATGACAAGAAATAATAAATGCTGGCATGGATGCAGAGAACTGGGAACCCTCTACACTGTTGGTGGGAATGTAAATTGGTGCAACCACTGTGGAAAGCAGTATGAAGTTTCCTCAAAAACTAAAAATAGAAATACCATTTATCCCAGTAATTCCACTCCTAGGAATTTACTGATAGAAAACAAAATCCCTGATTTGAAAAGATATATGCACTCCTATGTTTATCGCCACATTATTTGCAATAGCCAAGATACGGAAGCAGACTAAGTGTCCATCAATAGATGAATGAATAAAGGAGATGTGGTACATATACATGATGGAGTATTATTCAGCCATAAGAAGAAAACAAATCCTACCATTTGCAACAACATGAATGAAGCTAGAGGGTATTAAACTCAGTGAAATAAGCCAGGCAGAGAAAGACAAATACCATATGATTTCACTTACTTGTGGAGTATCTGTTGCATTTCTAAAAACAAAGCAAAACAAAAGGAAGACCATAGCAGTAGAATCATAGACACCAAGAAGGGACTAGTGGTTACCAAGGGGGAGGGGTTGGGGTGGGTAAGGGGAAAGGTAAAGGGGATAAAGGGGTACAATAATTTGCAATCACATTATAAGTTGGTCATGAGATCAGTAGTACTGCATGGAGAATATAGTCAATGATTTTGTAACATCTTACTACCTTGATAGATAGTAACTGCACTAGTAGGGATGAGGATTGAATAGTATGGGTAACTGTAGAACTACTGTGCTGTATATTTGAACCCAGCATAAACGTGTATATTAATGATACCTTAATTAAAAAAAAGAATAAAATGGAAGTTTTACATGTGAATAATGCTGCTGAAATTAGGAACTCAATACATAATTTTAACAGCAGATTAGACACAATCAAAGAAGATTGATGAGCTGAAGTCTAGGTAGGTAGAAAAATCCAGACTGAATCATATTGAGTAAAAAGAATGGCAGATACAGAAAGCAGCATAAAGACATATAGCTCATAGTGAAATATTCTAATATCGGTGTATGAGGGCAGAACACAGGTAGAAAGGGACAGGAGCAATAGTTGAGTAAATAATGGTGGAGAATTTTCCACAATTAATGAAAGACACCAAACCACAGTTTTAAGAAATATGATGTTGCCCCCAGATGGATCAATTAGGAGAAATTCACACATAGCCACAATGGAGCAAAACTGCTGAAAACCAAAAAGAAAAATCTCAAAATTGGCTGTAAATAAAAGGTAGACTACTTGTCTTTTCCAAGAAGTAGTAATATAATCTACAAAAACTGTATAGGTAATATAATAGCTTAATGGTGAATGTCGTCTTGCTCAGTTTGGGAACGTGACAAAGGTCCACCGTCCCCACTGCTGTCCACCTTTGTCTGAAGATCCTAGCTAGTGCAGTGCCGGGGAAGAAAAGTAGGGTTGAAAATAAAGAACCAAACTCTTTTGCCACAGGCAACCTGACTGTATACACTGAACATTCAAAAGAATCAACAGCCATATTATAATTAATAAATTCAGCTAAGCCTAGTTATGAGATCAGTATACAAAAATCAATTGTACTTTAATACGCTACCAATAACAATTAGAAAATAGAAATTTCATTTATGCCGTTTATAGTGGATTCAGAAACATCAAATATGTATGAATAAATCTACCAAAATATGTGTAAGACCTCTACATACAGAACTACAGAACATTGCAAGTAAAGAGAATCTAAATAAATGGATTAAAAGATTGAATATTGTAAAGATGTCAGTTATCTCAAAATTTATCTGAAGATCCAATGTTAGGATGCAAGTAATCCCAGGAGTATGTTAGAATATATGTGTGCATAAATTTATATAGAGATACAATGAGATTAAGAGTAGCTATCGTGGAAGAAAAATCAAAGCTGGAGAGCTTACATTAACAGATTTCAGGACTCATTAAAAAGCTAAAGTAGTTACGACAGCATTGGATTCTTGCTGTAGAAACAGGCAAATATATCAATGGAACAGAGGCCAGGAACAGATGTACACATATAGTCACTTAATTTGTAGTACAATACTCACTGTCTTTAAGCCTTAGTTTCTGTATCTACAAAAAGTACTTACCACATATGGTTTTAACACCATGTATCTGTAAGATTTAGGTATTGTATTAAAGACATTAGCACATTAGCAAGGGACATTCAAGTACCTGATAAAATTTAACCAGTGTTAATGTTTCTACTGTGACTATTATTATAATTCTTACAACTATTAATACTACTCATTTTCTTTATTTTTCAATATGGTTATCGGAAAATGGATAATGGGTGCACATTAAGTCCTGTGGCAACAAGGAACATTTAGGGCACAGAAGAGCAAGAGTGTCAGTTCTTAGCTTGCCTTGAAGAAAGAATGGGAACAGAGAGAGAAATGTCATGTTTCAATCAAGATTGATCTAGAAACTGGAATGGAACTTGGCCTGACTTTAGTGTACTGTGGTCACACTAACCGTGAGATGTTAGTGAACATTTATGAAGCATCTGAAATGAACTTGTGCGTGTATGTGTTTGTACTGGAGAGCCTGTGTATGTATATAAGCCATTTGTAAAAAACACTGTGGAGAAATGAAATCAGTTTCCTCTTGTTCCATCTGAATCATAGCCAGGGGATTTGAGAGAGAAATTCAGACATAATATTAAAAGGTTTGACTCTGTAACTTTGAATGAAAAGTATATTTTGCAGCATATTAGGTGTAGCTGGAAGGTCAGTTTATAAGGTAGGTCAAAGAGGCTCTAAGAACAGGGAGACAATGATATATTTTATTCCCTTTCATATTCATATCCTAAAACAATGCCTTGTATTTCATAACGTGGGCTGCTGCTATATAAACAGAGTCTTACACTGGAGGCATACCCATTATTCTGGCTGTTTGTGTGTTCAGCTTTCTCAGAATTCAGTCCACATGGCCTTTGCACCCTATCTTTCTCTCCCCCTGACCCGTCCATCCCGCTCTGTCACTCATGGGAGGGAATCATCTAAGTCCTTCCACCACTTTAGAACACTCGAGTTTACTGGCATGGGATTGTATTCAGCAGATATGAATTCAGTTTCTTACTCTATTACTTCTATCTGGATGACTTTAGATAAGGTTATTTATGCCTTGAGTTTCATCTGCAACAAGATGTTTGTGATGAGATAGTGAAAATAAAACTCTCAGCACAGTGTTTTCATCAGAGTAAAGGTTGGTGGTTATCATTATTACCATTATTATTGCTGAGATCACACAGCTAGGAGGCTTACATCCAAAACCTCACGTGCTTTTATGCCGTGCTCTGTAATTTGGCAAATTAGGTGGTACGATTTGGTACTCAGTCTTTCCAACTAGGTCTAGACTTGGTCAGGACTCTGTCCACTGCATTTCTGTAATTCAGTTCAGAGGCACCAGCTGGAGGTGCCTTCCCTCCAGTTCTGGCTCCTCTCTGGTGCCCCTGGGGCACTGGGAGGCCCTTTAGGTGGGACACCGGTGAGGGAGAAGTGGCACTCTCGCAGCCCTGGGAATCTGCCTGGCATCACGGAAACGGGCCTGCCTGGCCTGACAGTGAGAGTGTGACTGCCCCTGTGAGCAGCCTCGATGTGTATTCCTTCCCAGAGATAGCTAGTTTCCAGATCAAGGACGGAACAGTCAACTTCTGCTGTTCCCTTTAGTTGCAATTCGCCTGCCTGTACCTCATCGTCAGATGGAAGTCTGAAACTCTTGAAGTCCAGCCCTTCAACTGAAAAGTTTTTATTGTTGAGTACTTACCGCCTATAAGCTGCTTAGTGTCCACAAAGCCCATCAAAATTCACAGTTCTCCCCTTTTTCTCTGAATTCCTGAAGTGTCTCACCAGAGAGGTTCTTTCATTTCTAAGTTGCTTTCAGCAATTCTAGTCCTTGTCAACTCTTTGCTTTAGATGTATGTATCTTTCTTCCAATTTGATTGTAAGCTGAAAGAAACTCATCCTTTCTTACAGATCTGTGTGTTACTAAAAAGTGCTGGTTGACAAGACTTGCTGGGGTAAAACTGATAGTGACAGGCGCTCCAGCTAGTTCCTGAGGTGCTGTCCGTCCCAGGTGCTCTGCAAATGCATGCCTTTGAGTTCTCTCAGTGAGTTGGTTCTGAAACGGTGCTGTGTTGGACCCATGTCCCCTTTCATGTGGGACCTCGGGAACCCTCTCATCCACCCAGTGTTTGACCCCTAGCAGAAAAGGGCACAACGCTGAAACTGCCTTCAGACTGAGGCAGGGCAAATCCCCAAACTTAGGAGGAACAGAAAATTGAATTGCCAAAAGAAAGTTTGTCATCCTAATAAACTGAAGCACGTGATTTGTATTCCAGGTCCTTCAACCATTCTATGGGAACTCGGACATTTTCCCATGACAGTATTTTTATCCCTGATGGGGGAGCAGAAAGTGAGCAGACAATTCAAGCAGTGTCACAGGACAACATCCTGGGCAAAGTCAAAACTTTTCAGGTAAGAGAGCTTGAGATTGGAAGGTCAGAGCCATAGCAGGGGGCCCAGCTGTGGAGGGAAGGGGAAAAGTCTCCAGTTTGGCTGTCAGTAATGGGTTTGGAGGTCCAGGGGTAGTTCCTGGTGAGAATTTTTGCTTTCTCAAATGGATTCATTCTCTTCTGTCCACCTGTGAGAGGTGCACTGTCACCATTGTACTCACCTACATAACACCCCCTCTCCTTCTCTCTCAAATTGTTCCCTTGTTTTTAATTGGAATCAAGAGAACAGGTGCCCAGGAGAGGCTGCAGGAGTTGCTTGGGAGCAGAGTTCCCAGCCACTCAGTTGGCCTTTACTCCAGTACAGTGTTGATTGTCCACTATGGGGACGCACAGCAAACCTTCCTTTCCCAGTCTCTGCTTGGACAGTGAGTCGTGTGCCTCCTCATTGTGCCAGCTGTGTTTGTAGCTCTGGTTCCTACCATGTCTCAAAGGAGTGCCATGAAACTCCTAAACCTCCCACCTTTTTCACACTACAGAGTTGGGCAGTTTCCTGCATAAAATGGACTCAGGTGGTAGCTCGTTAATAATAAAGATATAATTAAATAATTCTTCATTAAATGTGATTGAAATAATGGGGAGTTCAGGAAAAGCCAGGGGAGAACAGACACCTGGAATCTGACTGTGTAAGTTTGCCCAGTTGCTCGGTAGAACTCACTCTCACCTGACAGAAGAGCCTGAACAAGTGCTTGTCCGAGATGGGAGCGCTGGGAGGCGAGCAGATGATGAATGGGGGACTCTGATTCGCTGGTTTCTGCCCATCTGTTAGTCGCTAACAATGAATGAATGAGGTGAAAAGGAACAGCTGCCTTGAGTAGCTGCCAACCCAGTGAAGTACTCAAAGAAAATTTTCTATTTTCTTGAAATGTTCTTGTTTCCATTGAACATTAGCTGCATATTTTGAGGTCTGTGTTTGGTTATGTATTCCACACACACTCAGCTAAATAAAACATATGGCAAATGGGGAAATAGCCAACACCCTGGAACCACACCCGAACTTGCCTGGATCTTGCCTGGATCTTTACAACTACTATGTACTGCTCGAGGCCATAGTCCTGCCGCTCAGAGCTAACCTAGGCACGTACTTCAAATTCCAGCATTTCCTACTGAGGTTGCATTCTTGGTTCTTGCTGGCTGTACTATTACATGTTTCATAGACATCGAAGAAAAAGCAAGCTGTCCCTTCTCATAGGCTGGAGAAGAGGGAAGGGTGGTGGCAGCCAAAGAAAACCAGACCCCCGCCTACCCTTACCTTTCCTACTTGAAGTCTTTGATTCCTAGGAACTTCTGAACTCCTGGCTCATAATACCCCTTTTCTAAGAGGACTAACTTGACAGATTTCAGTCCACAAAACAGCTGTATTTTACAAGGGCTTTCGAGGCGTTCTTTAAAAATTAGATAATAATCCATTGCCTTAAATGATTTCTGCTCTGTAGCATCATACCACAGGCCACTGCCCCCCCAGAAGCGGATTTGGAGTTGTGAAAGATAAATAATTCTGCAGTATTGAAAATACAGAAACTCAATAAAAATACGAGTGCCTTTTGCTCCTATTAATGTTATCAGGTGTAAGTTTAAAGAATCTGATCTCATAATAAATAAAACGTAAAAACAACTTTCCTGAAGCAGCAATTCTGTTACCACAGGATGAGAAATGTGAGCAAAGCAGAGTAACTAATTTGAGTGCTCGCCTCGGGAAAGCATCCCCTCACTCAAGGTCTGCCCGAGTCTGCTTCTCCTGCGTGGGTTCACACGCTTGTTTAGAGCTCTTTAGTTTTATTTATATATTTCTTTTTTCTTATATTTTAAAAAAATGAAAGACTTTGCTCTTTGAGGAGGGTAATAGGGACTATTATCATACAAAATGTGATTTTTGGAGTGACATAAGATATAACTGTATCACCCCCAAAAGACTGTGCTTTATTTTTCAGTCGACTAAGCAGTATGTTCCTGGTAAGTCGTAGAACTAGTAGTTAACTTTATTAACTTGCATGAATGCTTTGCATTTTTCCATGACAACGTTATGCTGGCATTGATGCTTAGTAAACAGCACAAGACCACCCCCTCGTAGGCTCCAGCATGGAATGAGGGTGTGGTTATGTCAGAGGCATGTATGTTTTTATGTCTGAAATTGTCTTTATGTGTGTATGTTTATTAAAAACAGAGAGACAGGTAATGGATAACACCTATTTGGACAGCAGGCTGATGTCCAGCTGGTTTGCTACCATTATTAAGACATTCTTTTGAAATGAGATTTCAATTGGAATGCCAACTTTTTTTTTTAAGGCCATTTTTCTCTGGCTTTTTAAGAACTTAACCAGCCCTTGGAAACCCACAGAACCTTGCCTTTAATTACCGCATTTGGAACGTTGCCCTCTAGTGTCCACACATAGTCATTTCAGCTAAAACTATGTTTCACCCTTGGCTGTTAATTATCTTTCTAATGAGTACACATGAATACAGCATACATAAGCCCACACTGTTCTGAATAAAGTGAATCTAACACCTGCCAAAATTTCTGTGGCGAATGATTTAACCTTTAAAAGAAAACTTGCTTTTTTTTTTCTGAGTATAAAAATAATACATGTGCATAGTGAGAACAAATTTTAATAAACAGGACAGTTACAGGGACAAAAGCAACAATGGTGACCTTTTTAAGGACCCTGTGCATAACAGTTGTTGCCTGGCCAGTGGGTGAAATAAAAAAGCCCATGCTCTGCCTACATCTGGCTGTGCGGCCTCAGGTAGAGTTATTTAACATCTCTGGCCCTTATTTCCCCATCTGAAAAATAAGGGAATGCTTGTGACAGATGATCTGAAGGGCCCCTCCAGTTCTTAAAATCTGCCATCTATCCAAAATCACTGTTCTACATTGGTACAAAGTGGCTTTGTAAGCTTCGCACTTCACTGCATTTGCACTTCAGTGACCCTGACAGTATCTTACAGCTGCCTAGAGCACAAACAGGGAGGTGTCTGTTTATTTCGGATGAGCCCAGGTTCTGAAGTATGTACTAACGGATGAGAAAACTCAGGAACACCACATTTAAGCCTGCAGGTGATTTTTAGAATTAGACCACACCTTGTCAGAAAATGCTCAGTCTATTAGTCCACGCAGTATTTAGCTCAGGAGGGGAAGCCTCCATATTGAGTAGCTGCTGTCTCCTGCTGAGCTGGATTTCACTCAGAAATGCCAGTGTCATACGTTTGAGGATTTCGACACCTCATGCAGCTTTTAGGGACCAAAGAATAAATACCCACTCTTAGTCACTTGGGCCCAGGGTGGATATCTTTACATTTGCATGCTTTTATCTTTTCCTTTTTTTAAAAAAAATCATTTTAATTAGGGGAGTATCCATAGTTCACTCAAGAAGACAGCAACTTTATTTTCCCTGTGCTCTATTCTTACAGTTATGGTCTAAAGGACAGCTGTGAAAAATATGGGAAAATCTAAATCCTGGTAGTGTGAGAGCTGCAGAATATGATATGCTTAGAATTTCCACACCATAGGAAACAGCCTCATAAATATGGATGTGCATTCCCATAACATCATTCTCCAGCATTCCATATCACAACAAAATGGCCCAAGTTGAGTGACTAAAATATTGTCCCTTTTTGCTCACATTCCAGGATCAACAGTAACTGCATTCACAGCCACCAGCAGCATGGACTTCAGTATAGGCACAATGTTCCCCTCTCTTCTCTGGTCCTTGTAACTACAGTGTGTATAATGAGCCTATGTGTATATAAAAAAAAAAGTAGAGGGAGTGGGAGTAGTTTATTTCTCTGAAAACTTAAGGGAAAGCTCACATTAACAGTCTGATTTTCAGTGTTGCTTGTATCAAAGTGACTCTCAGGACAATGCCTAAATAGTGGGCAGGATTAACGTCACAAGAAAGCCACATTTATCGTGTATTCAATTCACAAGACACCTGAGATTGCCGGACATGTTTTAGCATTAATTGTCAACAGATCGCACAATGTGTTGCGACACCCCGGGCTCCTCCGAGCATTTGGAGCTGGCCCTGCACATGAGGGCAGCGTGTGGCTGCAGGGACACTGGCCTCCAGAGCCTGGACTGTGGCCTTGGGCCCTAAGTCTGCCCTGGTCTTGTTCCCATCTCACCCCCAACAGCCGCAGGGTGTGTCTGTGAAGACCATCCTTTGGACAGAGAGGCTGCTCTGGATCCCTGCTAAGTGGCCATCATTTTTTTCATGACCTGGATGCCCACTCCTCCTCAGCTTCCTAGCCACCAACCTCAAGGTACTTTCTTTAAAGGGATTTTAAGTTAGCACATTGTCATTCACAAAAGCAACAGCATTGTTGTCTTCTGCCAGGATGAACACATTGGTGACATAAATCAACCCTTTGAAATACAGGTACATTCCCATCGCCTCCCTCCTTCCTGTCTTCCCTTCGTTTCTCTCCTCCTTCACACTCCCCCACCCCCACCTTTCAGCCAGGGGGTCTGCAGCCAGGTCTGCAGCTCTTCTTGGGCCCTTCCCGCTCTTGCTTCCTGTGCATTTCCTCTACCCCCTGCACCTCCCTCTCCAGTTGCCTCTTCTTTAACTCTCTATTTCTTAACATTACTCTTTCCATTTCTCAGCTCATGTATCTTGTTTTTCCTGTGCTTGTTCTATCTACCGTTTTTTCCATTTCCTCTTTCCTTTTCATCCAATCTTTGGAGTTTATTTCAATCTAGACTGTGATTACATTTTGCCTTATTATTTTTTGTCTCTTAAGCATCATGATGGACCAACATTAGTATTCTAAAAAGTGCCTAATGTGGAGAAGTATCAGCATATTCACCCTTTTTTGTGATGGTAGCAAAAATCCTAACTAAGTAGCAGTAGAGTGTTAGGCCAAGTTCTCCTTGGAGGCTCATTAAAGAATTACTATTTCCATTATAACAGAAGTATCCTCGACTTACTCATTCCAGAGCACTGGTAGATGGCCCACCCTGAGACAGGAGGTCTCAGTTCAGGGGGATGTAGAACAGTTTCCAGTTCTTAGCCAACACTGCCGGAGAAGGGATAACTGGTAAACCAAAGGCTGGGCTGTGGGAGTCCCAGAGGCAGCTGCTGCAAGGCTTTCTCTAGGACTCCGGAGCCATTCCCGCCTCTTCTGCCCAGGGCTGCAGAGGGAGATGGGTCTGGGACTTTGCTACACTGTGTCCTCTTGTCTGACTCCATGGGCTTTTCTCACCTGCCTGCTTATTGATCTGCTCAGAATGGATACCAGCTGCTGCTTCCTGCTAAACTTGTTTTTAGAAGACATCCTTCTTCAGCCTTCTCCTCCCTGAAACCGTTTTAGGCTGCTCAAGCTGTACTTCACTGGCTGAACTCGGGCTTTCTGTGTGCTTCTTCCCTGTGGTGCCAGGGGAGCCAGGCTCAAGCTGAAACCAGCAGGTCCTGGCTTGGCATGCTGGGGGCCCCGGGCTGTGGAGAGGGGAGTCTTGGGCTCGTCTCTTCCGTGTTTCTGCAATCTCACTGTCCACTGTGCAAGCCCAAGGGGGTGCCGTGCACAAGCGGAGCGGGCGCGCAGTGGGGTTTGGCATATTTGAGCTCAAAGGCAGAGGGAGCATTTCCCTTGAGGGGTTCCTGTCAGGGAGTGTCAGGGAGTTTTAGTGAGGTCTTTAAAATGCCACATGAGTCCTTTATCTCTGCCCCTTTAAGAAAAAGGAAGTGCAATGTCAATTTTATGAGATCAGTGGAGCACAGTGAAAATAACACTATGTGATTTTAGAAGACCTGGATTCAAGTCCCTTTGGGGCCTTTCTTTCCAAAAGCTTGGGCCAATTACCTCTTCCCACTGGATCTCTAACTTCTTTTGTAAAGAAAATAGATTAGACTATGTGATCACTAAAGCTCCTTGCAGCTCTGAGGGATTAAATATTAGCCAGATTAAAGATAAATATCATGAAGATAATGTATTAAAGATAATATATTCTCTTTTCCTTTTTTTTTTTTTTTTTGAGGCGTGTTAGGACTGTGAAGCCCAAGTACCTCCCTGTAACTCTCACTGCTAGCGACAATCCTGCCCCCCAGAGGACACTGGGCAACGGATGTCTGGAGATGTTTCCAGTGGTCTTGACGGGGACCAGGGGTTCCTACTGGCATCTAGTGTCCAGAGCCCAGGGGCGCTGCTAGACATCCTCCCCACACAGGACAGCCTGCACAGCAAAGAATCAGCTGGCCTGAAATGTCAGCAGCGCCAGGACTGAGAAACCCTGCCGTAGATAAAGGCTGTTGTTTGTACAATATATTCAACTCAGTAGCCTCAGATTCTCACAGCGTGCCACTTTTCTTCCTGAATGCCTTTTTTTTTTTCTCTACCACAGCCCATTAAAAAGACTGCCCCATTTAGCTATTATGTTTATATATTTTTCTTCAGGGACTACATTTCCTTTTCTAGTCCGGCTTTACTCTAACTCTAAATACTATTTTCTAGTGCTAATTTCTGCCCTGTTTTTCCATCCCTTCTCCCCCGCTTTTTAGCTCCCTCCCACCTGTAATCAGCCCCTCCTTGACCCTCTCTTCCCGCCTGCTTCTCTGTGCCTTCCCGCTTGGTTCCTTCTGTCCATGGTTCTTAGTGGCACTGCGGCAAAGCAGAGCAGTCCTGCTGGCAGGACAAGATCAGTCCCACCCCTTCCATGATGCCAGCATCGATCGTGGAAAGGCTTGCTGGCCCTGGGGTCCTGTTTACCTTGTCAGCGGTACCCACTGTGACCAGAATGTGACTGTCAAGTTAGGGGCTGGTGAGGAAGGCAGTTGTATAAATGTTCAAGGGGAGTATGTTCAAAAGGGCCTGAAGAATTCCCTTGTTGGAGCAGCCATAGTATCTTAATTTCCCCCAGTGGTTCCTGTATCTCATGTAACTATTTTCTATACAATTTTTGTACTTTTAAAAGACTTCTTATGTACATTTGTAAGTTAATCAAAAAATGTTTTTCATAACATATATCCCAATTCTTGGTTCAGAAATATGACCTCTCTACCCCCTAGAAAGTGTTGGCATCTCCATGAAAGAGGTGGCTGGGTGAAAAAGCAAAGCTCATGGCTCAAAGGTGGGAAAGAAAAAGAAAAGCTGGAAGATAAATTCACTTATACCAGGACTGCACTGTGGTTTGCTGGCATAGTGTTTAGTCTAGAGTTGCGTACAGGATATGCCTCCATGCCCACCAGGTATGCAGGGAACCTGGCTGTGATTATTGTGAACTGCCTCACTGCTTCACAACATCTTTCTTTTGTTTCTTTCCAGCGACAGTTGGGCAAGAACATCAAGTTTGGGCAGCCACCACCCAATGCCATCCCCATGAAGAAGGCAGACAGGGGCCAGGCTCGCTTAGAAGAGGAACTGTTCCTGACCAGCCCCATGGAAACTGTAACTCAGGACGTCATCCTCTCAGACATAGAGAACAAAGTAAGGCTCCTCCAGGAAGTAGCAACTTGATTGCTGTTAATTCCTGGAAGGATATTGGGTAGTAGACAGAAGTCTGACCCCTGAAGTCTGTGGTGCAGGGAAGAAGGTGGGAGTGACTTTCCTGGTGTGTAGCTCAGGGATGGAGGGCACTTCCTGGGCAGGTGCCTCGATCTGTGGGTCCACCTTAAAGGAAGAGGAAATGTGCCCTTTGCACGTGCTCTTCCCAGTGTCTTCCACTTACTCTCAGACTCAGGTTGGCCCACGTCTTCTGGGAAGGCTTACCTGGCCTCACCTCAAAGCTGTACTGCCTACTTCATGTCTTTACTGTGCATCCTTAGTGCTCTTAGACATTGGTACTCCGTCCATATCTGTTTTCTCTCCATCTGTAAATGCTGTGTTCCTTGAGGACAAACTGGATCTTAGGTATCTGTCTCCCCAGGATTTAGCTAGTACTCTGTAGTACTGAATAATTATTTGGTCAGTTAAACTAATTTAAAGGGAAATGAGAAAAGAAAGAAGTAGGTGCTCAACAAGACAGAACCTATCAAATAGGCCAACTTGAATTTATTTGGTGTGGAAGGAAAGTTGCATTGGTCCAGCACTATCCTATCTAAGTTTGGCTTTTTGACACTCTGAAAGAAACACAGTGAGCATATTCTGCAGAGGGTCCTTCCAGCAGCAGAAGGGATGTTCCCAGGCCTCTATGGGACAAGGAAAAAAGGTCTTCCAGCAGCTGAGCAGGGAGTTCTCCAGGGGAGGCATTTGCTGTGCTGTGCCTGCCAACGCACCTGAAATTATGTTGGATGTTATTAAAATGGGCATGCTTCAGAAGTGAGGCTTGTTATCAGCTACTGCATCATAAGAGGAGGAACACAGATAAGCAATTTGTAGAGCAAAGTGAGGAAGGGGGTAAAAAGGAGGACAGACTACCCCTGTTGCCTGTCTCTGCCTGGGCCTGGTAAGCCCTGGAGCCGCACACCTGGTGGGTGAAGCAGGATGGGGCCCATCCCTTCCACTAAGGCCGAAGTGCTTTCCCCATCCAGCCTCTCCATGCCAGGCAGCAGCGGCAGCCTGCAGCCTTGATGCAGGAATGTTCTGAGGACAGAAGCAGTGTCTTCATGGTTGCTGAGGATCCGGTAGCTGCAAGGCAGTGTGGCCTGGGGGAAAAGGGGACCACTGCTCAGCAGGCGTTCCCCAGCTGTGCATAATATGGAGAAGAGCACAGTTAGACAAGGGGCCGCCTCTGTGCAGTTCCCTGATCTAATGAGAGGAGAGTCAAATGACAAGTCAACAAATAGACATAAGAACTTCATATCAAGAAAAATGCTGTGAAGAAAATAAAAGTGTGATGGAAAAGGGAGTAACTTGTTCACGGAGGGGTCGCTTCTCTACATAAGGAGGTCAGAGCAACCTGGGAATGGGGGCCATGTTCTAGGTAGAGGGAAGAGTCAGTACAGACACAGGACTGAGGTCGTCCTGAAAGAACAGAAAGCAGATCAGTGTGACCGGCTGGACCCCGGCCAGGGGCGAGGGGGCGGGTACAGTGTGGCATAGAGACCAGACCACACAGACCATGGGAAAAGGTGATTCCATTCTCAAAGTAATAGGAGGCCTCTGAGTAGTTTCAGGTAGGACAGTGACATAGTCTGATTTATATTTTCTAAAGACACTCTAAGTGTCATGCAGAAGATGGACTGAGGTAGGACAAGCTGGCATTGCTCTGGAAGGGACGATAAGACCCTTTTGCATTGGTGACACAGACACAGGTTTAGTGGATCTCAGAAAGGTGCCGAGGGCACGGTGTGGGCGTTCTGAGAGTGGCGAGGTGGCTGGAGTGGAGAGCTTCAGCCTTCTTCTCTCCTTGCTCTGATGTTTGCGTCCTCAAGTTGTTCACCTCAGCCCAGCCAGTAGTGAGTGGCATCAGTAGGGCCCCATTCCCTCTCACAGAGAAGAGGTCTGGCACAGAGGTGAGACATCTATGAAGCAGGTACAGGGCAGCCGCCAAGTCAAAAGCTCTGAGGTTGGAGGCTGTCTGCATAACACAGCCCAGCATGCTCCCCAGGTGGGCGGCAGTGGGGAAATGCACCAGCAATGGAGGTTGCAGACTGCCCAGATGGGAAATGTGTTGAACTTGGGGAAGGGGGAAGGCGCGCTCTGTGCCTCAGGAGTCCTGGTCGATTCTGGACCCCAGTGAACACCCCAGCATGACTCCTGCCGGCTCTTTGAAGCCAGCTGCACCCCGTGGGCAGCCCTTTCCAGGAGCAGACCGTGTCTGGTTATCTGCCCAGAACTTCCTATTCTGCCAATTGACCTGAGTGCTCTCATTATGTTCCAGCCCAGTGATACACCAAGTCCTCTGAGTCCTCCGAGTCTGCCTGGAGCCACACGTGAGATGGAAGAGAAGGTAACATGGTTTGAACTTAAGTGTTTAGTTTCCTTACTTTAACCATTTTTCTTTTTTATTTTTATTTTTATGATCTACCTCATTTTTCCATTCAAAAATGCATTTTCTGTGCATAAAAGCCTTATCCATTACTTTAAATTCTTTCAAAGTGCAACCAGTAGTAGATGCTGGAGCAACTCCTGGAACTGAACCCTGCCTGGACTACAGTCACACTCCCAGCACGTCTGTGTTTCGGGGCTTAGATGCTGGTAATATTCCTAAATATATCATGTACTTCAAGATACTGTTAAGCCATTGAAGAAGACTTCCAGAACACCTGAAGGTACCAAATTCTGTCAGGCAGTCGCCTTCTATGTAGATATATCAGAAAAGGCCTTACCACTTCTCTACTTGTATGTTGATTTTTTTAACTTCTTTGTTCCATTGAAACCTGGAACTTCACCTGCAGGAGTCTCGGCAGCCCTGTGGACACTCAGGAACAGGGCTTCTGAAGGGCCCACCCACTCCCAGGAGGCTTCTCGCCTGCACAGGTGCCCAGGGCTCCTCCCAAGGTCTCACAGACAGTACAGGGAGCAGGGTATGCCCCCCGAGCCTGCCCCATTACTCAAGACAGTGCCACCACCCAGATGATGAAGAAGTCCAGCAGGAAATAACTAGAAAGGAAATACTGCATTTAAGTCTCAGCTTTAAGTGCTTATCTGTGTCTTCAGTCTAGCACATTTCACACTAACTCCTTTTACTCATGCATCTATTAGGGGATGGAAAGTCATCTTTTTCAATAATAGTTCAGAATTTGATGCCTAGTATAAATATAACTATAAACAAAAAAAAAGCGAGGAGTCCAAAGGCTGCAATTATTTTTCCATATTTCTGTGCTTCCTGTCATAAAGTAGAACTTACTGAGCATCCATTTTGCTCTTGGAGTTAGCTTGGTCTTTTATCTTTTATGCATAAATATGGAAGGTAATTGCAAAAAGTAAAGCTGTTGGCTAAACCCCACTGGGTCCGCACTCACAGCAGGAATAGTCTGGCAGATGGCCCGGGGTGTGTCTGACTTCCCAAATCTGAGAGCTGGGGCACAGCTGGAAGGCCGTGAGCGCCCTCTGCCGAGTACTGGCGGGTGGTAGCCCAGAGCTCTTGGCTGGCTGCTTACCCGTAAAAGCTCTGTGGTTGTAAGTGGCCTCTTAGCTCTGAATCTGTGTGGCCTGGGGGTTCAGGCTGAGCCGTGGTCTCTCTGACCTGTCTAAATCTGTACAGTTCTTATGGAGTTGTGGTTTTTAAGTGATCGCATCTGTATTACAGAACTGCAAGCAGTGCTGTGGATCATCCTTTGAAGACTTGCCCTCTCCTCTGTGTGTGGCATGTGGTTGCCCTTCATTTTTTCAACAGCACCATCTCCTTTTCAGCTTCTTGGTGCACTCAGTGCTCTGTGACTTTTTGCTAAAATATTTATTGTGGGTTATAAAGTTCATGCCCTTTTATTGATGTTATGCTTTATTGTTTCTTCATTGCTCCAACAAATATTTATTGAGCGCTTGCCAAATGAGATTTGCTGCTTGAGCACAAAGGGGACTGATACGAAGATGTAAAAACACATTCCCTTCCTCAAAGGGACTAAGGTAGAAGCTGACGGATGTTCATAATGGTATCTGAGTTAGTGGGAAGGCTTTTAGAGTTACAGAGTTCTTAACACTGAGTGAGCTAGTCCAGGGCTCAGCAAATTACTACTTATTTTAGGTTTCGTAGCTGTAAGGTCCACGTACAACTCCCCTTTGTTTTGCTCTTCACAGCACCCAGGCGGCCAAGGACAGCAGACGATGGGCAAGGCTCTGTTCCAACAAAACTTTAGTTACCAAAACAGGCTGCAGGCAGGACTGGATCCTCAGCTCTGTTTTGTCAACCCTTGATCTAATCTAACCCCCATATTATTCAGAGGAGGCAAATCAGCCCCTGAAATATTAAGTGACCTTTACAAGTTAATGCAAATATCACCGACAGAACAGTCAGTCAGGGTCCTGTCTTTGGATTCCAAAAGCAGGGTTTGGTTCCCTCTGCTGCCCCACTCTGCTCACCAGCATTCCCTGGACCAGGCTGGCCAAGGTAGAGGCTCCAACAAGGGGATGCCCTCTTTTGAGATTCCCTTCAGGTTGTTTTCTGATCTGGACTGACCTTTTATTTTAACCTCCACTACAGGTGGCTCCAGTTAAACCATCTCGGCCAAAAAGGCACTTCTCTTCCGCTGGCACCATCGAAAGTGTCAACCTAGATGCCATCCCCCTGGCCATCGCTCGCCTGGACAACAGTGCAGCCAGGCACAAGCTGTCTGTCAAGCCAAAAAACCAAAGGGTGTCAAAGAAGCACAGACGACTCGCTGGGGTACGTAGAACCCATCTTGTCTAACCAGGCAGATGTCCTGGCTTGCAGGGCACTGATCAAGTGGGGCTGTACCGTGGTGGGACTGTAGAAGGAATGAGGTCTCCCACCCTGGGGACTTGAGTGTGCTGCAGTGCACTGGGGCAGGCTGGCCCACTTGCTTCCCACCCGCCTTTCTGACATGTTGCCCTCTGGGGGTGGCAGGTGGACCTCAGAGAGAGAGGCTGCCTTTTGAGGGGCTCTAAACAGTTTGCATTTTCTTTGCAGCAGAAAGGTGGCCCAGCTCTCCTCTGCCATGGCTTAGCCAAAAGTTTTTCAGTTTGATTGGGATAGACTTCGAGGTCACAAGTTTTAGGGAACCTTGATGAAATCAAAATCTCATTTTTTTTTTCTCATTTTCCTATTGCTGGATTATTGGTTTTCCTATAACCATTCATATTTAGCCAAAGGAATTTGAAAATGACAAATAAAGGATATCTACAGAGAAACATGAAGATGAGGTTTTTTTCCTATATCCCCATGACTTACTCTTGGTGTGACAGCTTGAGTTTACCTATTTCTGTACTTAGGGACAACTGCCCCTTCTTTTGAGAGTTAGAGGGCCACCCACACTGTGGATAGGATGAGTTATGGTTGCCTGTGCAAAAGGGAAAAGGCTAATTGTTTCCCTTACCAATATTAGGATCAGCCACGTAAACAAGGTGGCCTTCCGAGTCAGCTGTCCCTGGACCAGAATGGACACCCTGCAGAAGACAAGGCAGTCTGCCATGAAGACGAACCTGAGCTGCAGGACTCCGAGGAAGAGAAGAGATGCCAAGAAGAATACTGGAGGGACCTTGAGGCCAAGTGCAGACGGCAAAAGGCCGAAGCAGCTGAGAGGAGACGCCTGGAAGAGCAGAGACTGCAGGCTCTGGAGAGGAGGCTTTGGGAAGAAAGCAGAAGGCAGGAACTCTTGGAGGAGGAAGGAGAGGAAGAGGAGGCAGAAGAGAAAGAACTACAACTAGGGGCCGAAGTGAGGCAGCGCGGAGAGGAGAGGCAGCGACTGAAGGAGCATGGTTGCCCAGGCCCTGAGCAGAGGGAGCAGGAGGAAGGAGGGCGCCTGGGGGTCGAGGAGGCCCTGCCGGGGCTGGAAGAAGGGGCCGAGCCACTGGAGGTGCACAGCCGGCAGGAGGCTGAGAAGCAGTGGCAGGAAGAAGAGGAGAGAGAGTTGAAGGAGCTCAGAAGACTGGGGGAGCTGGAGGAGCAGAGGTGGCAGGAGGCTGAGCGGCAGCGGCTGGAGGAGGAGAGGCTGGAGGAGCTGGAGGAGCAGAGGCCGCGAGAGGAAGAAGAAAAGCGGCTCCGGGAGCTCCAGCGGCAGGAGGAGCTGGAGGAGCAGAGGCACCAGGAGGAGGAGGAGGCCAAGGAAGAGGCGAGACAGCTGGAGGAAACGGAGGCCCAGAGGCGGCGGGGAGCAGAGGAGTGTCGGGAGGCACCGAGCCTGGGACAGGGGAGTCAGCGGCAGCTGGACGACAACCCGCCGCAGACTGACTTTGCAGAGAAACCGGAAGAACAAGAGCGCCTGAAACCGGAGAAGCCGGGAGAGAACTCGGAGGAGCCAAGTATTTTTGAGGAGAGCCACGAGGTGGAGCCATCTGGAGAGCAGCAGGGCGAGCAGGGGGATGTGCACAGGGATGATGGTTGTGCTACCGTACTGCCTCCCCAGAAACCAGCGGCGCAAGGGGAAGCGACGCCAGCTCCAGCGGAGCAGACAGCAGCTGCCCCTGCAGGGACAGACAGACAGGGGGAGGAGCTCCGGTGGCAGGAGGTGGACGAGTGGCAGGCCATGCCCAGACCCTACACTTTCCAGGTGTCATCAGGCGGGAAGCAGATCCTGTTCCCCAAAGTCAATCTGAGCCCTGTGACACCAATGAAACACGTGGGACTCGTCTCTGCTCCACAGGAGCTGAAGGCCCGCAAAGCCAGCCCTGCCCCCCACGCCCTGCCCTCCTCCCAGAGCATCCCCCACACGGCCATTCTGGTCACCAGAGCACAGCTCTGCGGCCCGGCTGTCAACCTGAGCCAGATCAAGGACACGGCGTGCAAGTCTCTCCTGGGCCTGTCAGAGGAAAAGAAGCGAGCGGAGGGCGCCGGCCTGGAGAACCCTTCCCGCGCCGGCAGCGGGAAGGCCAGGCCCGCCGCGGAGGCCCCGGGCAGTGTGGCCGCCCTCGCCGAATGGGCTTCCATCCGGTCCAGAATCCTGAGGAACACGGAAGGCGAGCGGCGCGGGGAGAGGGGCCTGTGGCGGCTGGGTGCTCAGCACGCCCTGCGGGGCCGCTGTGATTCACGCGGAAACCCCCGCAAGACCCCACCAGTCAACGCAAAGTTCTCTATTACGCCCGCCTGGCAGAAATTCTCCGATGGAGGCACGGAAACCTCCAAAGAAAACGCAGAGGCGGAGAGCATGAGACAGAGGGGCGTGCTGGGGCCCGGCCACAGCACGGCAGCCCAGCCCCTGGCTGCCGGTACCAGGCAGCACCCGAAGGGCGCGGCCACGCTGGAGCCGACGGACACCGCCGAGGGGTGCAAATTTGCCAAAGATCTTCCGTCTTTCCTTGTTCCAAGCCTTGCTGACCCGCCACAGAAAGCAGTGGCCCGTGCAGAGCCCGAGGCCACCTCGGACAGCGAGACCGCCAGCGTAGGAAGGCCGGACCCCGTGGTGCCAGGCGGGGAGGAAAATGCCTCGCCTTTCGGAATCAAACTGAGAAGGACCACCTACTCCTTACGCTTCCACGGCGACCAGCAGCCAGAGCAAAAGCGGAAGAAAAGGCCGGGCGGCCCCGCGGACGGCCCGGGCGGGCGGGCACCTGCCCAGGTTGAGCAGCCGGCAGAGGGTGTGGCGCGGCCGCGCTGCCCGGCCCCAGCGCCCTGCGAGGACGCTGCCCCAGGAGCCCGCGCAGCCCCTGCGCTGGCGCCGGGGCACCCCACGGCCGGTGGCCGGGCCCCGGCTCCCGAGCCCGACAAGGCTGCGAGCAGAATGCCGTGGGTGCGCAAGCCGGCGCTGGCCCCCAAGCCCGCCGGCCGGACGCCGCCGGCCTCCCCCGTCTCCTGGCTGAGCAGGCCTTGCCCAGTGGAGCTGCCGGTGCGCCCGCCAGGGAGGCCAGACCCGGAGCCCAGCAGGCCCTGCTCGGAGGGCCAGGACGGTGCTGCGGGGCCGCCCTCGCCGCCACCCTCTGAGCCGAGGAGGGCGCAGGAGGAGGAGGAAGACGAGCGGAGACCCGCTTCCCCCGCCCTGCTCGCCGGGCAGCCCGAGAAGCCCTCCCAAAGCCCCGTGGCCGGAAAGAAAGGTACGTAGTGGTAGGTGGGAACACCCTCCCGCTGTTGGTGGTGCCCGGAGGTGGAGCCCATGGGCAAGCGCGACCTGTCGCCGTCCCCGGGCCCTTGCTCCCGAGGCCTGGCTAGGCGCTTTCTTTCTATCTTGAACTTCGGCAGTGCCGAGCGCTAAGTGTGCAACCCACACCACGAATGATGCCTCCTTCCTTACACAAGTAACAGGTGACGTTGCTGCCTTTTAGATTGATGTGCCATCAGGTCATCGATGAGTTGGCCCCCTCCCGAGGGGGCCGAGAGGAGCACGAAGACTGGAGTTCCCTGGACCGTGTCTGCCCTGTCTGTGGGCATTAGCAGGTGCCTGGATGCTTTGGCCACCTCTGCCCGCCTGGGGAGCGTGTGGGTGACTGAGTTTGTCTCAGTTTTAGGCGAGGTGCTCTGCAACTGTATAAGTCCTCACCAGCTTGCAGTGCCAAGCCCTCCTAGAAAACATTTTAGAGCGGCCCTTATTCCTGGCTGCCCCTCACATTGCTTCCTACTAGATGTTGGGGCAGCTCAGTGATCGCTTGGATTGGCTTTGGGGTTCCTGAAAACATCCAATCTGGTACTTTTTCTTTTCTGTTTTGCAGAGTTGGAGGTAAAGTGTGGGTCACAGCCTGGGTTATACTTCTCAGAGACTCTCGAGGTTTTTTTAGGAAAGGCTGTAAGCCTTCTCTTTTGTTTGTTAAGGTTTGCGGTGATTTTTGCAGAGGAAAGGGCTGTTTCCCAAGGAATGTTGGTTTGGTTACACGCCTTAGCGAAGACCTTATCCTTTTAACTAAACCTTGTTTGGTTCCCTGGACCAGTATGTTAATCAGCAGTTTCCAGATCATTTATCCCTAATGATTTATTTGCCCCATCTATGAGGAGCCCCCTGTCCGTTTTGCTTGCTTTTTTTTTTTTTTTTTTTTTACTTACTAATAGTCAAAAAATTTTTAATTAAAAAAATTGAACTGTATAGAGAATTTCAAATATATACAGAACTAGGCAGAGTAACATAACAAATTATGTGTCCTGCACCTAGCTTCAAAAATGACCAACTCGTAGCTAATTCTGTTTCATCCATAACTTGATTCACTTCTCCCCTCCCATATTATTTTGAAACAAATTCCAGAGCTCACATCCTTTCACTCATAAGTATTACAAACATACCTTTAAAAGAAAAGACTAATTTTTAACATAATTACGTATCATCTATACATCAAAAAATACTTAATAATTCTTTAATATCATTGAATATTCAGCCATTTTTAACATTTCCAGTTGTTTCACAAATATCACACATTTTTTTTTTTTTTGAGAGGGCATCTCTCATATTTATTGATCAAATGGTTGTTAACAACAATAAAATGCAGTATAGGGGGGTCAACGCTCAATGTACAATCATTAATCCATCTCAAGCCTAATTCTCTTCAGTCTCCAATCTTCTGAAGCATAACGAACAAGTTCTTACATGGTGAACGAATTCTTACATAGTGAATAAATTCTTACATGGTGAACAGTACAAGGGCAGTCATCACAGAAACTTTCGGTTTTGATCACGTTTTGCTTGCTTTTTTAACCTCTGCGCTGGGCCCTGGGGGGCTAGCCACGGTGAGTCCCACTAGCCTGTCAGGAACTGTTCCTTAGTTCCTATAGCTTGTGGGACTCCTGGATGCAAGCCCTGGTAGCTTTCAGAGCTGTGTGTTTGTGGGGCCTGCTTCTCAGGTGGGAGTCTTAAAAGTTAGGGCACCAGATTTCTCAGGGTGAAGCTGAGAATAGTGAGTTCCCACGGGGTTGTGGGTCACTTTGTTACTGGTTAAGTGTGTTGTGTTTATGTTTTCTTGGTCCTTGCCTTCTCAGAAGAAAGAATTCAATCAACAGACAGGACAATCTTAGGCAGCAGGAGTTTATCAAGCAAAGTGAGAGTACACTCTAGGGAATGGTGGGGAGCAGGCTGTGTGGAAACCAGCAGCAGACCCACCATAAGGGTTAGGGTTGGTTTTTTAAATGGTGGAAAACCTTTATCTGTGTCTTCTTTTAATTGACAGTTTCAGGTTACACCATCTTCCTAGTGAGCAGGCACTTACCCATAAGCACCCAAGTGAAATCCGGGGGCTTGTGGGGAGGGGTCGCAGGGACCATGATATAAATTTATTATAATTATGGTATAATGAACTCCCAGGTAGCTCCTGGTCACCTTTTGAGTCTCACTGTGCCTGTGGCCAGTCTGTGTTGGTGGTCTGGAAGCCCCCTTGGGCTTTTTACATCTTGTTTGGCCCTGATAAGGCGGGAGACTGAACCATAAACAGGAGGGGTTTGGAGTGTGTTCTGCTGTCTGGTGACAAGGGGGTAGGTGGAGAGGGGGAGGACCTGCTCATACCTGCCTAGCTTGCTTGACCACTGTGCGGAGGGTGGGGCTATGGTGAGATTGTGTCTCCCCCTCTCCTACTCACTTCCATGTGGAGTTTTTCTTGTCTACCAGAAGGGTAGGAGTTACTTAGCCAGTTTTTTTATTTCTTTGAAAGGGAATTGTTCTATGTATAGATGTAAATTTGGCACGTCTATAGGAGGAAGGGAGTTCAGGATGTCGCCATCTTGACCCGCAACCCCCATTTTCAATTTTGATGTTAGCTTTTGTTGCATTAGCTTTCATGGCATCATCAGAGGCCCTCTCACAGCCTGGCCTGCTCTGTCACTCTCCTGTCTCCTGGAAGAAGTAACACTCTGCTGTGCTGCTTACTTGTGGGGATGGCTCGTTAACTACACTTTTCTACCAAAAACTTTTATTGCCTGTTTTCTTGGCTAGTATCGATTTTGGGTTGTCAGACTCTGCTAACTGAATTTATTTGGTAGAAAAGTGTGAAAGCCAAGGACGGCATGCCTTCTGGGTGTTTCCTATAAAGACCTCTGGGGTTTTTCTGTCCAGCTCTAGGCCAGGGCTGCCCACATGTTTCACTGAACACCCCTACAGAATAGAAATGTTAAGCTGAGCTCTCTAATTTATTTGTTAATTGTGTGCCTGCAGTACCAGTTACTACCTCAAACATCTGGAGCACTGCGTACACTTCAGGTGAAGGTCACTGGAATAGCAGAGCGATGCAGATGTCGATCTGCGTTGCAAATCATGTGTTGCCTTTTATTTTCTTTGGCAAACTTCTTGTCAGCTGGTATCTTCACAAAGTGGCCACCAAAGAGCTTGTCAGTCTGCTGTGTTCTTATGATTGCAGGATTAGTAGCATATGAAGTCTGTGGCTTGCCAGAATTTATGCCATTTGTCCATTTCATAAGGGATCATTTAGTTCAGAGATGGGACATTCATAACCTACCAACTGCAGAACCCTCACAATAACGCTAAAATCACAACAGGTAGCGACAAGCTTGCTGTCTCTTCCTGTTGCCATTGTGGTGCTCCTGTTTCCCCCCTGAGCCTCACACATCATTTGGTGTACATGGCCTGCGAGGATGTCAGTGCCAGTCTGAATAGTAAATATTAGAAAAGCTTGATTTCATTCCTTTTAGATTTAAAAAATATATAAAAAGGAATTCTAATCTTTTCCTCCTTTACTCCACAGTGACTTGCCCACACATACCCTAGGGCACACACACCCCTCTTTTAGAGAAAAAGGTTTCCCCTCCCCAAGGCAGAGGCCAGTGAGGACCAAAATACAGGCCAAGCCACTGGGACGGTGTTGGCTCTGAACCCGGCAGGAATTAAATCGCAACGAAAATCCCGTGTTTGTCATCTGCCACTTTGAGCACAGATATTATCTCACTCTGAAATCCACCTGATGGGTAGAATAGATACCAAGGGGCCCTTTCTCCAGGAACTGACCTTCATGAGCAGTGATTAGAACCTTGTAATGCCAAGAGGCACTTGTCTCCCCAGAACCTGAAGGAGGGAGTTTGGATTGTAGTTTTTCTCATTGACTGAGTTTAGGATGACAGAGAATAAACAATGCAGCAAAATACAACTTCAATATAGATATTTTGAAATCCCCAACCAAAAAGGTTATGATTGACAGAGAACATCTGAGTTCTTGACTGAGATGTGGGCTTTTACTGTTTTAGAAAATTTCAACAAGTCATCCCTATGCTAAGTCACTTACAGACTGCTTTTATTTACAGTCTTATGCAGTCTCAGCACAGGTATATAGGCAAGTAATCTTGGCTACATTTTACAAATGAGACCACCACCAACTGACAAGTTAGGTGACTTTTCTGCTCCCCCTAGTGGTAAAGCGAGAATGAGGCAGCGTTCTTTCCCAGGTTAAATGTTACCCTGGGACAGCTCCAGTAATTCTCACCTGGCATTTGTAAAGTGCTGTAAGCCTTTAAAAACACTTTTGTATTAATGCCCCTATGTTACTTCTTGGACTGACTGACCTTACTCATATATCTGTTCAAAAAAATTGTTAAAAAAATCCATAGGATTTAGCAAAACCTTACTTTTCTCATGTTGTAGCATGTGACAATCTTTCCTTTTTAAGGCAGAATAATATTTCTTAGTGTGTATATACATTTTATTTATCCATTCATCTGTCATTGAACATGTGGGTTGCTTCAACCTCTGGGTTATTGTGAATAGTGCTGCTCTGAACACGGGTGTACAAATACCCTTTTGAGATCCTGATTTCAGTTCTTTTGGATAAATACCCAGAAATGGAACTTCTGGATCTTTGGTAGTTCTTATTTTTTTTTTTTTGAGGAACCGTCATACTGTTTTCCACAGCAGCTGGACCATTGTACATTCCCACCAGCAGTGCACAGGAATCCAGTTTTTCTACATCTTTGCCAACCCCCTTTTTTTTTGATAGTAGCCATCCTAATGAGTGTGAGGAGATTTCTCATTGTGGTTTTAACCTGCATTTCTGATAATTGGTGATGTTGAGCATCTTTTCATGTGCTTGCTGGTTGGTTGTATGTCTTCTTAGGAGAAATGTCTATTCAAGGCCTTTGCCCATATTTAAATTGGATTTGTTTTCTTGTTTAGTTATAGGAGTTCTTTCTATATTTTAAGTCACCTTTTGAAAATAGTTAAGTTCTCTAGGCCCTTTTAGTAACAACAGCCTAACAATGTTGGTAATTAATGTCCCCTCTAGTGTCATAATCAAAACTCCAAACACTACTTCAAGTTAAAGTGTCTCCTTTTTCTAAAGTGGCCGGCTTTAGGCTGAGATGCCCACATGCTCTACTTGTCCTCTTCCTCCCAGCCCAGAAACCAGTTCCAGAGCTGGAGTGAAATGGAGAGACGTGAGGCTTTCCTGCTTGCTGCTCTTGGGAGGCACTTAGCAGTGGCTCTTCTGTGGGGCACTTCTGTATGGTCCTTGGACCCCTCCCCTGCCCCCTGGCCCCTTCTCCTCCAGCTGTGGTTCCTTCTCCCACCCCCATCAGTAGAGCCTCCACCTCCAGGCAGCCCTGGCTCCCTGATTCCTTCTCCAGGCTGCCTCCTTGCCCCACAGGGTGCACACCTGGATGCTGGGCAGCACTCAGCAACAAACCAGAAGGCCGAGGTCATCCCGACACAAGCTCCTCTTCTCTGTCTCCTGGCAGGCCCTCGGCACCAGCCATCCTCACCTTTGGCTTTTCCAGTCATAAAGAGAACCTGAAGTCTGTGCCCCACAGACTCTAGGAAATAGTCAGGTCGTCTGGGTGGTCCCACCGAGGACCTGCCCACCCCATCCTGTGGGGAGAGGACACAAGAGCATACCACGCTCCCACAGTCTTTTCCAAAGAATACTCTGGCTTCTTCCACCCAGCTGTCTGGCCACCTCGTGGGCTGGCCCCAAGCAGGTGATCTAGAGCTTTACTTGGGCATGTGGGAGTAGGTGCCATCACTTGTTTCAAGCCTTTTGGGCATCCTCAGCTGAAAGTCAGACAGGAGCCCCATTTTAATATCCTGTCTTCTGCTTAGTGATTCCCAGTCCAGACCTGTTAGGTAGACCCTTTACATATACTGTGTTACAGCCTTTTAAAGGTCTAGTCCATAATCCAGGTGTGCTATTCAAACTATAGTTATAAGAAAATACAAATCTGGCTAGAGATTTATCTTTTAAAATTGTTTTAGTCAATGTCAGTAGTTATATGTTAAAGGTATTTTGACCCTTGTGAAAAACACCAAAGGTGTTGGCAGAAAACTGGCCAGTTCCTTTAATGACTTTCCCAAACAAATCCAGATGGAATACCAGGTCTAGGCTTCCCTTTTACATAATAGCTTTAAATGGAAATCATTTAGAGCTTGATGATTTGGTTTTTAGACATTTTATGAATAGGTGCCTTTGAGTAAAAATAAACTCATTTAATTCCAGTGTATGTAAAGCTTCAGTTAAGCAGAATGCTTGAAGTGATAAACATTTTTAAATTTTCCTGGTCAACTAACAAACATTCAGTTTGAAGGTTTCTAAAAAAACTTCTGAAATGTATGTTTTCTTTCCTTTTAGATCATAAACGAATTTTTATTTAATGATTAGGGAACTGCAGTGTCCAAGGCTCATTATTCATATGAATTCTCTCTGTACAGCATTATAGATCTAAGGGCCATTGAAAATTAAGCAGACTCTGCACTTTTTTGTGTTTTATTTCCTAATTCGCACTTATTTTGGTTTTCTCCTCAATATGAAGTCTAGTTGACTGAGATCCCTGGTTGGTAAGGCTCTGGATCATCCATATGTAAACTTCCATTGAGTTTCAAAAAAAACAGGATTATTGTGAGGCCCTTTTCCTTTGAGAGAGTAAAGGATTCAATGCTAGAATGTTTATCTCTAAAAATGCATAATTTTCACTTGAGGGAAGAAACAGGGATGACTGTCATAGACATAAATACTAACAGCTCAGTTTTGTAGAGTGGTTACTTTATGCCAAGCACTGTTCTAAATGTTCTGATAGCCATGCTCTCTTTTAGTCTTCACAGCAGCCTGATGAGGCATGTGCCATTATCATCTCCATTTTATGGGTTAGAAAACAAGTTTTAAAAAGTAGCTTTTCTAAGGATACATAAGCTCAAGTCTAGTTCTCTAGCATCCACTTACTCAGCCTTGGATAACCACCACCTATGCAGTGTGTTTGCCCCCAGTTGCACAGGCGAAGACAAACCGCAAGAGGAAGTGCAGACCAGGAGTCGGAAGTCTTAGGTTCAAACTTGAGCCTGTGCACTACTGGCTGGGTGACCTTCCCTGTGCCTGGGTGCTCACCTCCACCAAAGGAGGGCTTTGGCCTAAACTCAGTGTCCCGCTGCAGGCCTGTGCTCTGCCGCCCTTGGCTACCGCGGCCCAGGAGTGGGGCAGCGCCCTTTTTCCTCACACACAGGGGTTCCACATAGGATGTTGAGGGGAAAATGTTTCCATTGAAAAATAATTTTAAAAAAACAATGAATCAGATAGCTGTCTGGGTCCCCTGCAGGCCTGAGATTGTAATGACATTGGAGATTTATTTTACTTCATTTGAGGGAAAAGAAATGCTTCTGTTTTTTTCTGTTGATCAAAAATGGAGTCATTCTGGCATGAGCACAGAGTTTAGGAAGGGACAGTTGATTATTTCATGGACTGATTAATATGTCATAAGTTTTAAGAAGTGAAGGACCAAGATAATTGAGCAGCTATTTTTGCTGCAAAACTTATTTTGTCTTTACCAATTCTGATCACAATTCCCAACAGGGGTGGGTTGGGGAGGTAGTTTCCCACTTATAATTCCCACCACCACTCAGCAATTCTAAGATGCTCACTGGGTGTCTTACATTTCAACTGAATTCTGACACTACCTGGAGATAGCATCCGATTCCACAGTTTAAGAATTTAGTCCCACAAGACTGTTCCCATGTTTTATCCCAATCCCAAGTCCAGGTTGTAAACTGTGCTTCTGACTGACTGACTTAATCCAGAGGTTCCCATGACCCCCGCCTTGAGTTTAATTTGCTAGAGCAACTCATGAACTCAGGGAAACATTTTGCTTACCAGATGACTGGTGTAGTATAAAAGGATATAATTCAGGAACAGTCAGATGAAAAGATGCATAGGGCAAGGTATGAGGAAGGAACAGAGCTCCATGCCCTCAGGGCGTGCCTCACGTTCATATGGAAGCTTCATTACACAGGCATGATTTTCGAATCCCCAACCATTGTCGACTGAAGTCATTCTTCACTCCTCTTCCCTCCCTGGACATTGGGAGGTGGGAATGAAAGTTCCAACCCTCAAATCATATGGTTGGTTCCCTGGGGAGCCAGCCTCCTTCCTTAGGGAAGTCTAAAAGTCACCTCATTAACAAGAGACTCCTTTGTGCTTTGGGCACTTAGGAAATTGCAAGAGTTTTAGGAGGTCTGTGCCAGAAACAGGAGGAAGACCAAATACGTATTATAAATCACACTACCACGTTCTTTCTTCTCCCGCAGAAAAGCCAGTGCTTCAGAGCAGGCATTCTTTAGATGGCTCCAGGCCTGCGGGGAAGGTTGAAGCTGCGCAGCCACTGTGGATTACACTAGCACTGAAAAAGCAGAAGGGGTTTCGGGAGCAGCAAGCGACTCGAGAGGAGAGGAAGCAAGCCAGGGAGGCTAAACAGGCAGAAAAACTCTCCAAAGAGAATGTGAGTAATCCAGTCTTCAGCTTCAACTTTGCCTTCCCGGGCTTGGCTCTCCTTTAGCACCCAAGGGTTAAAAAAAAAAAAATTAGCTGGGAGTGGCAGAGAATGCTTACAAAGGTTAGAACAAGAAATAAGTTGGCTGCTATAAAACCAGGGAAGCATTTTCTATTAGAAATTTTGTTTGGTTTCCTTAATATCTTAGGTTAACCTGATTTGGCAGAATCCACAATGTGATTAGTAGCAGTGATCCACACACACAACAGTAATGTGAGAAATATGAAGACCATTGTATCTGAGCAGTTGGGAGGAATTCAGGAGTCTTGCCCTGTGGCCCTGGCTTTATAGGCTGTTTGATGGGGACTCTTCCAGGAAAGCAGCAGTCCTCCTTAATTTGCGCTGGGCTGGTGGTCCATGGTTGGGAGCCAGAGTTGAGCACACATTGCTTCCAGGTGCTGTCCAGCTGCTCCTTTGGGAGAAGAGGTTAGGGGCTGGCAGGCTGAAGACCCCAAGACCTTGCACAGCCAGTCTTTGCATGTCCTTAGGTTGACAACACACTTCCCTGACTTTCTCTGCCCACCAGGTCAGTGTCAGCCCGCAGCCTGGAAGCGGCTGTGCCAGCAGAGATGGTTCCCTGCACAAGCCCCCAGCTCAGCCAGAGGAGCAGCAGCCAGAGACTGCAGTGTCCAGGCTTGAGCGCAGAGAACAGCTCAGAAAGGCCAACACTCTTCCTACGTCTGTGACAGGTAGCAGTTTATCTGTAACAACAGTTACAGGTGTATTCTTAGAGGTGCTTTATTTCCTCCAGTGTGAGAAAGCACAGCTTGTTCGGCATTTTGAGGCATAGGCTGTATAAGTCCAGGGAGAGGAAATTCCCGGGGCAAAATACCTCTAAAAACCAAAATCAGTCAAAAGGAGAAAAAAAGTTTAAAATCCGTTTACTGCTCACAAGCTGCAGTCCCGGGCCATCTCTTTCTTGCTCCAGCAGAAGCAAAACTGACGTTCCCCTTACCTCTTGGGTACAGGTAAGCCCTCCTAGCCCAGGTAATTACCCACTAATATGGAGATAAACTTCTCTCCACCCCTGAGGAATGATGCAAATGCACTAAAGCCATACTTCTTTCCACCTCTAAACTCCTATTGATATGCAGATGTACTAAAGCTAGGCGAGATATTCTGGAAATGTTACAGTTTTACCCATTGGCTGTCTGATCACCCCATCCACAAACATTGAGAAGGCTCATCTGATCGGCCACCAGGAGCTCACCCCCCCATCGGTGGTAGATGGTTTTAGGTCCACGGAAAGGAATTCCCGGGGCAAAATACCTCTAAAAACCGAAATCAGTCAAAGGGAGAAATAAAGTTCAAAACTTTATTTTCAAAAGTTTATATTTCAAAACAGGTAAGAATACACCTGTAAAGTTTATTGCTTACAAACTGCAGTCCTACCCATCTCTCTCTCCTGCTCCAGCAGCAGCAAAACTGCCCCTCCCCTCAGGTACAGATAAGCCCTTCCCTCCACACTTGAGGAATTATGCAAATCTCCTAAAGCCATACTTCACCCTTGAGCTCCTGTTGATAGGCATATGTACTAAAGCCAGGTGAGATATTCTGGGTAAATTACAATTTTACCCACAATGGTAAATGTTTAACAAGCTGCTCTTCAGGGAGTGGGGAAACAGCTGATTTGTAGCACTTGACATTTCCCGTGGTGTACATAGTCTCATCATGGCCGATTACAGGCTACCAATGGGCTATCAATTGGCTCATTTAATTCCTGAACATTTAATAAGACACTTCTGCCCCCTTGCCTGTAGTCCCAACATTAACTTGCCAAATGTGGCAAGGGAAACTGCATACCATAAAGAACCTTCTCAACAAAGGAAAAGACAAGGTTATAATAGGATTTGGGAGAAAGGATAAAGTCAAGGTAAAAATTCAAGTGTAGTAGTAGTATGATAAGCTCAGAGCAAAGCAGGGGTATACATAATAGGGTCTGACATCAATCCTGAGCTGAAACATGGACTCAGGGTCCATTTTCTTTGACATTATAAAGTTATATGTGTGGAGGCTGATTCTGAAAACTTCTGCCTGGGGCTCTGGATCTGGGTGGGAAATGGAAACTTTATCTGAATCATAGTGACCCACCTGACTCAGATGCTCCAGGCAAAAGTGGTTTGGTCCCTTATCAGTGATGAGTTTCAGACAGTAAGTTTCTGACCATCTGTGACTTTAGAGTGCAAGGGTTCTCAGCTCTAAGTCCACGATGTTAATTAACAGTAGTGTTTATATGTCCATGATACACAAGACACACTTTTTAAAAATTTTGTTAAATGGTAACATAATCCAATAATGTTCCAATTAGTTCCTTGTTAAAAAATCCTTGGAGGATGGTTGAATCTGAATAAGCTTCTTACCAGGGAAACTGGGGATCTGTTTTCCCCTGGAGGCAACCCTGTTCCCCAGAGGGCACACAACTCCCAGACCCAGGCATTTTTATGCCTTTGTTACCTGCTAGCTGAATGTGAAGGAGAAGGTGGAGGTCTTGCTATTAAAGCTGTATTTTACTATTTTGTGAGGAGGAAAAAAACACTTTATATTTGAAAACCACTTTGGAACACTGTATAATTTCTCATGAACCTCCATGAGCATTATTTCATTTGATCTTATACTCAGGAATTAAGTGTTCTAAACATTACATGGATGTGTCAGAGAGAGAATTCTTTCAAACTAAAGTGAAAGCTCCAAAGAGACCACACACCTTTGTCTGCCCAACTTACTGAAGTACCAAAGAGTTAATACAGTTCAGAGTGGCTCCAGCTGAATGAAGCTAGCCTTTTTTCTGAATTATTTGTCTTCTCATTTAGTATTTCCTGAGTTCTGCCTATGTGTAGGCCACTGCTGCAGACACTAAAATATGACCCAAAGAAAAGACAGGGACCCTTACTTTAAGAAGCCTCTAAGGTTAGTAAAAAAAAGTGATATGATGCCAAGGAATTATTAAACAAGACTTGAAAAGTCCCAAGAGCTAACAAGATTCAGGGACTTCAGAACATGGAGGGATCTAGGATATACTTGGTGGAAGAGATAATTTTTTATTTCACCAGCTTGTAAAATTCAAACTGCTAGTTTGATCTTTTTCTTTATGGAATTGACTAGTATGACTGGAATCCCAAAATTTACCTTCTGTTACCATCATGCAGGCATAGCTTCTGTGTACAAAAAGTTAGGCTTCTAGAAACCCTCTGAAATTAAAACTGATCACACTGATCATCCTAATTCTGTATGCAACATAGCTTTCTTTCTCTAATTCTTCTCATCAAAGATGCCCAGTGTCCCTCTGGGTTTTCCTTCCTGAAGCTTGTACTTCTGCTAAGTCAAAATGTGGCTCTTCTTTCTCCTTTCCCTTCAAAATGCAACGCAGTGGAGATCTCGGATTCCGCTCCCACAACGCAGCTGGTGAAAGAAGTCACGAAGAGGTTCTCTACCCCAGATGCCGCCCCCGTGTCGACAGAACCAGCCTGGTTGGCTCTAGCCAAAAGGAAAGCCAAGGCCTGGAGCGACTGTCCACAGATTATTAAGTAAAGAGTGACTTATCAATTCCTATTGCCAGTTACTGGCTCCTCTCTTGCCCTTTTTATTTATTTTTTATACAAGGTAAAGAAAGCAAGCTAGGGAAAAGCAGCATGTTTTATAGGCACTAAAATAATGTTTAGAAACTGAACTGGTGGTGTTCCTTATAAAGAGTGTATTTGCACAGCCCTAGGTACTGGTGCCTTGAGCTCCTCCTAGTTCTAAAGAGAAAATTCCATCTGAAGGGCCACACAAAGCAGAATCTCCAAACTAAGAACTCCTCATGAGAGCCTGCCATGCCCATTTCATGGCCCTTCCACACACCAGTGAGCCATGTACTTTTGCCAATCTTTGTAATGATCTTTTGATTCTCTACTCCAATTTCTTTTATCCAAAACACTTACCCTACCATATGGGGATTTCTATCATTTTCTGCAGTAATGGTGAAAGAATCATATATAGATAATAGGAACAAGAATGCCCCTTCTATTGAATGGAGCTACTGGGAATTTCAAGTAGTGGTCTGGTTCCCGACTCTGACCATGTCTGTCTGGTTTTCATGAATTTCCTCCAACCTGAAACTGTAACACAGAAAGTGAATCCATTCACACATCTACCACATTGTTTTCCAGGCCCTGTTAAGCCAGTACTCTCATTAAAGACATGTTAAACATTTGGCCCAGTTGGCTCCTAGAGAACATTTTAGTTTGATATGGTGAATAAAAGAAGCCACAAATTCTTTCCATGTCTTGAGAATCCCCATCTCGTGCAGTAGTTCTTCGGATGTCCTGGCTCCATTCTAGGCCTACTGAATCAAATACTGTGAGGATGGGCCAGGAGTGTATATTCTGGCAAAAATTCTTCAGATGAATTCTGATATATCCCAAAAGCTGAGAACTCTGGGATATACTGCTTCTAGTATACTCGAGTCTTTAAGTCTCTGAAGGGGAAGGTCATTTCACTCAAAAGTAGCAAAAGTGAGACAGGAAAAATACGCCCCCCCNNNNCCCCCCCCCCCCCCCACAGACACTTACATACACAAAACAGCCATTTTTACAAGACACAAGATGTTATTAACATTACATGTCTTTGAAAATTCATCCAGGTCTTTAGGGAAAGTTGACAGGAAGCCAAAATTTGGAGCCTCTGTACTAAAGACTTACTGTGGGAAGTCTTTCTCTTTACCATAATCATAGTTCATATTTATAGAGTCAAATGTTCAATAGCATTTATAACTAGTAGAGCATTCACCTTGCTACCTTTAAAAAACATCCCAGAGTCTTAAGTGGCCTTGTTATTATGCATGTGATACAAAGAAGGGACTTGGTGATTTAAAAGCCATGTATATACACTTTTATTTCCCTAAATATACTTTACATGAAGCATAGACATACCGGCAAACCTACACATTGCTAGTACTACATATTTAATGGTGCTACCATAGCCTCCTTTTCTTAGATTCTGACTCCAAAATGTAAGTACAAATCCTTTGCCCAGTATAAGGGGAATTACATCCTTTTTTCCTCACCGCCTCCACACACATTTTATTAGTATCCATCACTATTTTCCTTTATGCCCACTGAACATGCAATGTGCTCTTATTCTATCATTACCTTAAAAAATGACAGCAGAGTTATTTACCATATACTTGCCATTTTCTTTCTGGAAACAATGCCTCAGCCTCATGGCAGCAGCTGGCATGTGAGGCCAAGTGGATACTTGTAGTCTTGCAAGTTGGGTATAATATTATATATACTGGACCTTCAGTCTGTTAAGAATCAGTGTAACTAATTTTTTTATTGCTATGGGAAGCAATTAATATTCGACTGCATGTTTTCCACACTGATGTTCATTTCTAAATCAAATATGTAGGCATTTGTTACTTTCAATGATTTCCTAATATAACTAGTGAGAATCTTTAAATCTAGAGCCCTGGAATATACAGTGCTACAGTAATTTTTCTGAATTGTCTTTTTCTTTCATCCTATCAGCTTTGAATATCACAGTGATGGCAGAGAACAAGCGGAGAAATCAGATCATTAACAAAAAACAGTAAACAGTCAACTCTGTACTGGCTCACACACCACCCAGCCCATACAAAGTAGAAACATACCTCAGAAAGTTTCCATCAAAGTATTTAAAAGAAGAGTATATTGAGGAAAGGACAGTCAGCACTTACTTTGAAAAATTTCTAAAGGGTACATGTTCAGTATTTCATTTAAAAATTACTCCAAATTTGCACAAAACACCAGTGAAGTGTTACTTTGCTTTAGTTGTGTTGCAGTCTCTTCTGATCAAACTGTGGGGGAAAATTCTGTAAAAACATATACAAAATTCCAGGCTTTTAAAAAATATGAATGATTGTTTTTTTAATTTAAATGTACTCTTGTCCTGGCAAGGATACAGATGATTAACCTTTGTTCATAGACTTATACATATAAAACTAGAGTTTTTTGTTTACTTTTTTAATTTTTCAAGTGCAATTGTTTCTTACACATTACTATTAAATTATCATTTTATTTTAGCCATTTATCAGCCAATATGTATGTATTCATTGTCTCTTGTGACATTTAGTGTAATTGCTTATTTTAAAGCAGAAACTAAATTAGTTATGTGTCTTGCAACATTTTTATGAACAGTAAAATTACCAATGAAAATACCTTAGTGTGATTTTAATGTTATTTTAAGATTTTAGTTGTATAGTTTTAATGTAAAATGTCCATTATTGAAGGAGAAGATCTTTCAATAAAAAATACCCTTAAGGTCGTCATCACTGATGGAATGTCTTTTTCTTTTCAAGTTGAAGTTTTTACTAATTTAAATGACCATTTACAAGTAAGCTCATATTTACAGAGTTTTATTGGGAAAGAAAAATTGAGGCATTTTATATGGTACATTATATTTTTCACTCTAGGAATTTTTAGAGAAAAATCATGAAAAGGGGCAAATAAAATGTTTATCTCAATTCTAAAGTGGAAGTGAATGGTCTGTGTGTCAGACAAAATGATCCTACTGCCTCCTTAGTGTGTGGGCCGTAAAACAGCGGCATGGGCAGGAACTCTGATCTGACAGCAGCGTGTGAAAATGCAGCTCAGAGCCCCAGGCCTGACCGACTGACTCACAGGGCCAGACAGGGCAAAATGATGTGAGGCACTCCAGATATCAAAAAACTCAGTCATCAAGATGAATACTACATTAATGTAGTATTTTAAAATACCAAAATGAGTGAAAATTTCATGGTGAACAAATACCAAAATGTAAACAAAAGCAGGATCAGTACTACCGACTTCTTTTACCTCAGGCTCCACTATGGCTCAAGCAGAGCACCCTACTCCCAGCCCTCTCAGGAGCAGTTAGCATTTTAGCAAGAGCTCCAGGTTAGTACAGACATTAAGGTTTAAGAAGCACTAAAACCAAGATGGGTCATTTCTTTTGGCCAGCCAGCATGCTGAAATTTCCCTTTCTATATCTGGGGAAATCTCCAGCTCAGGAGTCTTGGTAGGAGGCAGGGAAATTCCTATGATGCGCTTTCTATACTTTCTCACAGGCATGGAACCTGTTCCACTTCGAATTGGAGGGACTATGATCCGGGCGCAAATGAGCAGAGTTGGGGAACTGAGAGGACGGCTGGCAGTGGTGGGAAGGTGTCCAGTGTATCAGCTTTAAGCTGAGTGTTTGGGGCTTCAAGGACAGTAGTGGTGTCTTCCCCAGGCCAAAATCAGTGATTTCAGACATTCATTGTTCCTGGCTTATAGTTCTGGCCCTCTTCACAGTTTTCTAAACTATTCAATATTGTTTTTAAAAATTATCTTCTACTTAAAATAGCCTGAGCCAGCTTCTCTAATTTGCAGCCAAGAACTCTGGCATGTTTGGTATTTGAAGCTTTACTGACAAATAAGTGGATAAATGAAACGATACCACAGTTGACTGAACAGTTAGGGGACAGGTCGGCAACAGAGTGCACTTCTGTTACTTTAAGAGCTTAGCACAGTGTCTGGGATGTAACATGCCCTAAATAGTCACTGTTGTTATTACTACCACTAGCATCCAAATTCCTGATTATCATACAAAAACAGGGGTATTTTATTACCTGAACTATTATATCATGAAATTTCAAGGAAAACTAGGAATACTGAGACATTTATTTTTCCATCTATTTTCCATCTGCTGAGTATTTTAAGTGACACAATGCTTCTGTTGCAGTGATGCATTGTGGCATAACATACTACCCTAAAACTTAGTGGCTTAAAAAAATTGCCATTTTATTATTTCTCATGATTCTGTGGGTAAAGAATTAAATGTCCAATACCAGGACTGCTGAACAGCTAGGGGTTGGCTGGCAAGCTGGGGCCATAGCTTCACTGTGAACTGGTTTCCTTGGTTCTCAGTGCTGTTAGTATCAGAGCCACTCCCTTACCACAGACCCTCCAGCAGGATGGCAGACTTACGTGGCAGCTCAGGGATCCCACAAAAGCCAGGCCTTCTTAGAGCTTAGGCTCCGAAGTGCACAGTGCCACTTCCACTGCATTCTGTTGGTTAAAGCAAACCATAGGCCCAGCCCAGGTGTAAGAGAAGGGGACTGCACAAAGGGCATGGCTACCAGGAGGAAGTACAGTTCACAGGGATAACTTAATACCAGGCAAATGCATGGATAAGCAAACTGCTGTGGGACTGGAAAAGCAGTTTCAGTCCAAAATGGTAAACATGAGAAATCATGATACTTTATAGAGGTTTTTTTTCCCTTTTCCAGTTTTCACTGTGTTCCCTATCTCCAAGCCACTGAACAACAAAAGGTGTTACAACACCAAAATCAAGTAAATGGAGAAACAGGTATAAAAATATTCACCAAAGATTATCAAAAGTTGAAAAAAGAGGTTATATCAACTTGAAACTACAGTGTGTATTATAAATATAATTCAATATTGGTATTTTGTTCATCTAAAAATACTAAATAAGTAAACTAATTTGATAAATACATCCTTCCTTTGAAAATCTTTTGTGTGGATCTCTGTAAATGAGTGAATATATATTATATTATATCACAGACTGTTTTTAACCCACTGAGTATATGTGATCATCATCTTCACAGAAGTCTTCTATAAAAAAATAAAAACAAAAACAAAACTCCAAAGTATATTATCTATAGCCTAAATTAAAAGAAAGTGCTCCTGAATACACTGATATTTTGTTCTGTAACTTTAAAAAGTTTTTGTTGCTCCTACAATAAATAAAATAGGTTATTCTCCAGTAAAATATAATAGACAAGTTTCTTAAGCAAACATAATCTTTAGTGTAAAACAAGACTACATGCTCCCTGGTGGCAAAATATTTTTAAACATTTAAGATATATTTTAATAGCGACTGCACTTGATTATTTTTGTTTGCCACCCAATAAATCCAGACAATAAACATAATTATTTCTACATCCAATAATGAGCATTGATTCCCAGACCACAGGAGATGAGAAAACTTCTCCAGGAAGTTCATATACACTTTGCAACTGTCCACTCTTAGATTCCAAGATCCACAGTTTACCATCAGTAGATGCTGCTGCCAGAAACATTTCATTGCTATAATTACAGTAATGGAAAGCAAATGGTGTTGCATACACCCTTGACGTAGTTTCAAATTTCCACTGGAGGTGACCATTCATACTACAACAGTAGATAAAGCAATCGTGGGAACCAAAAAATATTTCTTGCTCTGATGCTGAAGTACATGGGGATGAAAAAATTGGTGCACGGGTAGAGAAATGCCAAACCTGAAGAGTGATAAAGGCAAAAATATTTCATTCATCCAGTTTTAACCATTCTCCTGTAGATTAAAGGTTATGAAATTCTTAAATATATAAGAGATGTAGGCTGTTGAATGGTAACTACACATAGAGAAAATGACTTTTTCTGAAAAGTAATATCCCCATATTAAACCTTTCTCCCAGTGGTAAAGTCTAGGACAAAATACACTGGAACATTCTTACTACATGTGTCACTGCTGTGCTACTATGAGATAAAGTTAAGTTTAAACTCCATTTTAGAAAGAGTTATTATGGGGTCAGCAAAGTTGTAGGATACAAAATTAATACACAGAAATGTCACATTCCTGTATACAAACAATGATCTAGCAGGAAGAGAAACCAGGAAAACAATTCCATTTACAATTGCATCAAAAAGAATAAAATACCTAGGAATAAACCTAACCAAGGAGTTGAATGACTTGTAGTCTGAAAACTGTAAGACACTCATAAGAGATATTAAAGAAGACACCAATAAATGGAATCTATCCCATGCTCATAGATAGGAAGAATTAATGTTGTCAATATGGCCATCCTGCCCAAAGCAATTTACAGTTTCAATGCAAGCCCTGTCAAAATATCAATAGCAAATAATCCTAAAATTCCTATGGAACCAGAAAAAACACCAAATGGCCAAAGCAATGCTGAGAAAGAACAACAAAACTAGAGGTATTACATTCTCTGGCTTCAAGCTATAACTATTGTAATCAAAAGAGTATGGTACTGGCACAAGAACAGACCATAGATCAATGAAACAGAATAAACAGTCTAGATATAAACTCTCACATACCTGTCAATTAATATACAATAAAGGAGCCAGGAGTATACAATGGAGAAAAGACAGTCACTTCAATAACTGGTGTTAGGAAAACTGGACAGCTACATGCAAGAGAATGCAACTGGATTACTATCTAACTCCATACACAAATGTAAATTCACAGTGGATTAAAGACCTAAATGTAAGGCACGAAACCACAAAACTCTTAAAAAAGGCAAAAATCTCTTGAACCTAACCTAAGCATGAGTAATTTTTTCCTGGACACATCTCCCCAGGCAAGGGAAGCAAAATAAAATAATGAACAAGCGGGACTACATCAAACTAAAAAGCTTCTATTCATCAAAGGACACCAACAGCAGAACAAAAAGACAACCTATAGTATGGGAGAATACATTCAGAAATGATTTATCTGATAAAGGGTTAACATCCAAAATATATAAAGAGCTCACACGCTTAAACAGCAAAAAACAAAACAAAACAAAAAAAGCCCAATTAATAAATAAATAGTTGGAGGACCTGAGCAGACATTTTTCTCAAAGATACAGATGGTCAACAGGCACATGAAAAGATGCTCCCACATCACTAATCACCAGTGAAATGCAAATCAAAATCACAATAAGATGTCACCTCACAGTCAGAACGGCCACTATCCAAAAGACAAAAAATAACAAGGGTTGGCAAGGAGGAGGAGAAAAGGGAACCCTCCTACATTGTTGGTGGGAATGTAAATGGCGAAGCCACTCTGGAGAGCAGTATGGAGGTTTCTCAAAAAATTAAAAATAGAAATACCATATGATCCAAAAATCTCACTTCTAGGAAGTTACCCAAAGAAAACAAAATCTTGATTCAAACAGACATACGCACCCCTATGCTTATTGCCACATTATTTACAATAGCAGAGATACAGAAACAGCCTAAGTGTCCATCAATAAATGAATGGATAAAGATGCAGTACATAAACACAATGAAATATTATTTAGCCATAAAAATATGAAATCCTTACATTTGCAAGAACATGGATGGGCCTAGAGGATATTATGCTCAGTGAAATAAGCCAGGTGGAGAAAGACAAATACCATATGATTTCACTTGTGGCATATAAAAACAAAACAATGAACAAGTAGATTCAGAGACACTGGTGGTTACCATGGGGGAGGGGTTAGGGTGGACAGGTAGGGAAAAGTGAGGGGAATAATAAAGGAGCCCAAAAATTCTCAATCATAAGTTGGTCGTGGGGATAGTAGTACAGCATGAAGACTGTGGCCACTGATTCTGTAACACCTTTCCATGTTGACAGATAGTAACTGCACTAGTTGGGGTGAAAATTTAATAATGTGGGTAACTTGAACCACTGTGTTATATACTTGAAACTAATATAAGATTGTATATCAACTATACATCAATTTAAAAAAATGAAAAGGCAAGAAAAAATTTATTACTAGTATGTTCAGAGGTACTGAATTCAAAGATACAACTGCCTTGAGTTTTTACTGTATCTTATTAAAAACTATCTTATTCTGTTCTCCTAATGTATGTAAGGAGAAGGAAGTAAGTAGGCTGAAAGAAGAGTTTATGTGCAGTAATTTAAAGTTTAAAAAGCTATGAGTTGTGTGTGTGCCCTATGGATATATACTATTTGTCAATTAATATATAATAAAGGAGCCAGGAGTATACAATGGAGAAAAGACAGTCACTTCAATAACTGGTGTTAGGAAAACTGGACAGCTACATCCAAGAGAATGCAACTGGATTGCTTATTCCAAAGCCACTACAGACAAACCAATTGGCCAGTATTTTGAAGAAAGGACACAAGGAAGTAAAGGCCAGTCTAAGGTAGTGTTTACAAATGCACACTAACAGCAGCATAGTAAAGAGCAAACACTGTAAAAGCAGTGGGCAGAGTCACAAAATATGATTTGTAATCTTAATGCTGTGCCTGACTTGGACAAAATCACTTTCATCTTTTTACGGCTCATCCAAAAAAATAGTAGTAATACAATTTGCTTCTTACTTCTTGGGAATTAAAGGTGAGAATATATTAAAACTAATTTGTAAATAAAAATATTAAATGGACCTAATAAAAGATTTCATCAAAAGATAATTGTCACTCAGAGCAGAAAAGGAACTGCTCTGAGGGGTAAAAACAGAATAAGCAGCACCCAGTATCAAGCCTAGCCATCAATGAACTACCTTAGATTGGAACTAGCATACTCTCCAGTCCATGAAATAATCCCCCAAATCAAACACACTGAGGTTGTACCATAAATTACGGAAGTGGCTCCTTAAAGAAGTGGAGATTATGCTCTGAACAAAAAAGATCTAATATAACCCAGAAGGAGCCTGCCCTGTGAGTTATGAAGTTGAAGACAAGACCTCATATAATTGAATGCAGGTTATGCAACAGATTTGGGTTTTCAGAGAAAAAGCAAAGGATTCTTTAAATTTTCAAAACCTCAATAGATGTTACAATAAAACTGACTAAAAACTGGTAATATTTTAAAAAGTGGGGTAAGGGCATGGCACAAGCACAACAATGTTTAGATGGAATCTTAAATCTACTATAGCATCATCCAAAAATAAAGAAGCCTATGGCTTGACAATTAAAATAGAAATAGTTTTCAACACAAGTTGAATAATGACATATAAAATTTTACTTTAGTTATCACCAACTACTATGCCTTTGAGAAATATACAACAGCATTAGAAACTTTTACCTGTTCTCCAAAGTGAGTAAAGCAGAGTAAATTCCCGTCTACACAGCCAATACAAATATACTGTAGGCAACACTGTGGAGAGGAGAAGAGTGGTTTTCCACAGGAATGTTTCCAAACTCTGTTCCCTGTGGCCTGTCACAGGCAAAAAGTAATTCATAACATTTAATTCATTCTACTATCAATTTCCCTTTATAAAACAAACTCATAAATCTCCCAGAGGCAAAGCTATAAACATCAGAAAATGCTGATATGGCATGCTGACATTATAAACGAAGACAGCACACATACATACACAGCTACAGAATTAATCAGTGCTATTTATAAGCTAAGATAAAAAGTTGCAATAAAACCAGGAAAGAAGGAACTAGCATATAACCTCTATCCTTAGACCATTCAAAGCTATAATATGACTGAGGTAAAATTCTGCCAACTTAAAAAATACATGAAAGACATATACAGAACTTATATTTTCTCATCTTTCTAGACTTCATTTTTAATGAGTTCTGGTACAGTGACATCTGGACTATATCTATTAAAATTTTCATAATTCAAAGAAATAAAAGACTTAAAGAAAAATAGATAATAAAATCAATACATATAATTTTGTGCCTACAGGATTTACAGCTAGTAAAAGTCCTCCCAGTGTAGCAAAATACAAATGATGTGGAAGCAGGCTCAAACAAGGAGAAGAGAAGACAGTTCCTCCACATTTTAACTTCCAAACACACTTCTTTTTCTGCAAATAAGAAAGTACATTACTTGGTTTCTGTTAGTGGTTAACAAATCCACATATCCTACCCTTCAGGATGTTACGCCTACTTAATTAATTTATTTTTACTATAAAACTAATACAAGCCCACTGTAGAAAATCAACTTTTATGTAAGAAGACAAAGCCACCACCCATAACCACTGTTAACAAGTTAGCATTTTCCCCTTTAAACCTTCATTATACACACACACAAAAAAAAATTTAGTATAGTTGAAATCATCCTGACTATGCACTTCGTATCTAATTCAGCTCACTTATTTGGTAAAACCCTTTAAGCAACTTTAATGAATATCCTATTGAACATAAAATATATCATCTCTCTACCTTATTATTTGAGTTCCCTTGTTTGAAGCTAATTTCCTGGTGTTATAAACAGCCTGGAAATAGACATCTTGTTACACATATCTGTCCATGTTTCTGATTATTTTGCCAGGATAGATTCCCAGAAGAATTTTACTGAATCAAAGGATATGAAAGTTACCTATGGACAAATTCTTTTCCTCAGACTTCACTAAGTATAACCTCCCACCACTCTCACCAGCTTATCATTCTAATCTAATACCATTTGTTTATCTCATAAATTTTCATTCCTTTGATTACTAAAGGTATGAAGCATTTAAATGTATCTACTGGCCATTTCTTCTTTAGAGTCCTACGTATTTAAACCCCTTGTTTATTTTTCTAGCTGGGTCTTTATATTTTTCCTATTAATTCATATTTGCTACTTTCATTTATATTTATTTAATTAATGAGTTTTAACTGACAAATTTGTTTCAGTTTTTCTTCAACTTATTTTTTTAATTAATAAATTTCTTTATCTAATCAGGTCTTATTTGTTATTTTCCTTTATGATTCTTTTTTGTATCTAATCAGGTCTTATTTGTTATTTTCCTTTATGATTCTTTTTTGTTGTCAAGATGGTAATACTAAGATCTTTCTTTCAAAACTCTGAGTAACAAACTTATTTGTGACATTGGAAGGAAGTTAGAATAGTTAATCCCTGCTTCCCTACTCAAGAGCACCTGACAAAGTTCCATGCTCTCCTACCCTTAAGGCAGGAGACTGATAAGATGAATTCTTACATAAATATCCAAAGCATATGCATGCTGGTCATGAGATCCAATGTAAAAGACTCCTGTGGTTGGATCCATAGTTGCCGAGCTTTTGACAGCATCCTCAGTGGTGAATGTCCAGTATTTTTCTCCACTATTACTTTCCAGAACATAAACTAACCCATTATAACAGCCTAATGGAAAACAATATAAAAGACAAGATTTAGATATGTCACTGGAAAAATAATTCTTTAGCCTAAATCATGCCTATTTATATTCCATACTTGGGCTCTATGTTCAGCTCAGATTTCAATTTCAGCAATATAAAGCACAAATCGAATAGTAATCACTTGTGTAAAATACCTATTTAGTAGGTACACCTTATTTTTCACTACCAAAAACACAATGAAGCATCATGCAGCAGACAGAGGCTTTGACAGACCCGGATTAAAATCCCACATCTATTATCCTAGGGCAAATTACCCAGCATCACTAAGCCTCAGATTATTTTTCTGCTGAATGTGGATATATCTACTTCAAGGTTATTGTGATAATTAATATAATGTGGATAAATGCCCAGTGTACAGGTGTTCAAGAAATGCTAACATTAGCAATAACCAGCGTTTGAGCTTTTACCTTGTAAAAGGTGCTATTCTGAGAATTTTACATCTTTTACCTCATGTAATTCTCATAGTGAAGGAAGTGCTAACATATTTTATAGGTGACCAATTTGAGGCACAGAAAGATTAGGTTACCAAGTTACAACTACTCAGATAATAAATGACAGAACCAGGACTTGATCTAAGAGGTCAAGCTCCAGAGCCTGTGCTCCTAACAACCACACCACAATGCTTTTCCTTTGTGGGTGGGAAGACAAGGCAGGAGTCCCTGACTTGGTATAGCCAAATAGGCCAGGAGGAAACGGGGTCAAAATCCACAAAGAGATTACTCAGGTTTCTTGGAGTACTTGTAAATCAGGGAAGTTCAATTTGGGCATTGAGATTTAGATATGTCATTGGAAAAATAATTCTTTAGCCTACAGAATTAGGTTCCAGATGGAGCCTCTCTCCATCTAGATGGTTCTGTCTATGGTTATAACCCACTGCTGCTCACCTGAGGCCCAACTTCCAAAATGACTGCTGTGCTGTTTTTTTTTCTGGCAGTTACTACTTAGTAGCAAGAGAGTGGCCTGTTCAGTGGTGGTGAAGAAAAATGTCCTACATAGTGAAGCACCCCAGGACTCAGCTGGATAATAAAACATTTCCTTCAGTTCAGTTCAGTTACCATAGAAAATCTTTGTGACCTTGGGTTAGGCAAAGATTTCTTAGATATAGCATTAAAAGCATGATCCATAAAAGAAAAAAAAAGATAAACTGAACTTATAAAATTAAGAGCCTCTCCAACCTAAGTGTCCATCAGATAAATGGATAAAGAAGACGTGGTACATATACACAATGGAATACTATTCGGCCATAAGAAAGAAACAAATCCTTTCACTTGCAACAATATGGATGGAGTTGGAGGATATTATGCTCAGTGAAATAAGCCAGATGGAGAAAGACAAGTGCCAAATGATTTCCCTCATTTGTGGAGTATAACAATGAAGCAAAACTGAAGGAACAAAATAGCAGCAGACTCAGAGACTCCAAGAAGGAACTAGTGGTTACCAGAGGGGAGGGGTGTGGGAAGGTGGGTGGGGAGGGAGGGAGAAGGGGATTGAGGGGTATTATGTTTAGTACACATGGTGTGGGGGGATCAAGGGGAAAACAGTGTAACACAGGGAAGGCAAATAGTGAATCTGTGGCATCTTACTACACTGAAGGACAGTGACTGCATTGGGTTTTGGGTGTGGACTTGATAATATGGTTAAATGTAGTAACCACATTGTTTTTGCATGTGAAACCTTCGTAAGAGTGTACATCAATAATATCTTGATAAAAAAGTTTTTAAATAAAAATTAAAAAAATTAAGAGCTTCTCTTCAAAAGATACTATGAGAGAATGAAAAAACAGGCCACACAATGGGAGAAAACATGCAAAACACCTATCTGATGAAAGACTTGTATCCAGAATATATCAAAAATTATCAAACCCAGTAAGAAAACAAACAATTAAAAAAATGGGCAAGAGATCTGAACAGACACTACCCGAAAGATATATGGATGGCAAACAAGCTCATAAAAAGAGTTACAACATCACTAGTCACTAGGAAAATGCAAATTAAAATGACAGTGAAATTCTAGTCTATAACTATCTTAATGACTAAAAAAATCTTTAAACTCAATACCAAGTGCTGACAAGAATGTGGAGCAACTGGACCTCTCATACATCAATGGTGGGAATGCAAAGTGGTTCAGTCATCTGGGAAATAATTTGGCTATTTCTTATAAAGTTAAACCTTACACTTAGCATACAACCTCCCCTCCTAGGTATTAACCCAAGTGAAATAACTTATATTCACATAAAATCCCATTTACAAATGCTTATAACAGTCTGACTCACAATTACCAAAAACTGGAAATAACCCAAATGTGAATGGATAAAAAAAGTGTGGTATATCCACACAATGGAATGGATACTCAGCAAAAATACTATTGATAAATATGGTAATATGGATGAATCTCAAATATGCTAAGTGAAGCCAGACTCAAAACACTACTGTATGATTTCATTTACATGACTTCCTAGGAAAAGCAAAACTAGAGGGACAGAAAACAGACTAGCAATTGCCTGGGGGTTAGGACTAGGAGAAGGGATGACTACAAAGTGATGTGGAACTTTCAGGGGTAACACTCTCAATTGGGGTAGTGGTTATATGACAGTATGCATTTGTCAAAACACAGAACTACATGTTAAAAAGGGTTTTACTGTATATAAATTATATCTTAATAAAAAAATGCTTAAATTACTGAGTGACCACCATGTACCACAGGCTTCAAGCCTAGATACTTGGGATATAAACAGTAACTTCAATGAGCTGAATTTAATGGATGGGGATTACTCAGATCATTCACAAGTACAACTGAGTTTCCTACAGTATAATTTTCAAAGTGTAGGTGTTCAAGGGTAATGATCAAATGCACATTCAAGTAGTACCCCAGCTAGGGTAGCACAAGTAGGATATATTCCTAACTACTTAGTCTGAAAAGCTTTGGTGAAGATTCCATGAGTATATAAGGTGAAACACATACTGTAGCTGGGGGAGTAAAAAGAGGAATAAATCAAGGAGAGGCACTACACCTGGACTCCCATATTCCTAGTAAGGTAGAGGTAGTATCTAGTATCTTAATGGGTAGCAGCTAGTATCTAATATCTAACAAGCACTTTGTACCCAGCAATACACTAAAGGATTCATAAGCAGTTATCTCATTTAATCCTCTCAAATGCTCTTTGATGATTGCAGTGGTTTTAAGACATGTCCACAAATTCTTTGGTAGTCTTCAGGAAGTGGAGCCTAATTGCCCTCCTATTGAATGTGGGCCAGACTTAATGACCTGCCTCTAATGAATAGAATAAAGCAGAAATAATGGTGTGAAACATTGGAGACTAAGTTGTAAAAGTACTGCATTCGTCCTCACTTGCTCACTCTTGGATTACTTAAAGGCAAGTTAGCTGCCACGTTGTGAGGGCCTTCAAGTGGCTGATGGAGAGGCCTGTGTGGCAAGAAACTGAAGCCTCCTGCCAGGAACCACAAAGAACTGAATGAAGCCTTCTGCTAGAAGCAGTGAGCAAGCCATCTTGTTAGCACATTTTCTAGCCTAAGTCGAGCCTTCAGATGGCTCCAGCCACGAGACCCCAAGCCAGAACTTCCAGCTAATCTCTTAAAGTACTGATCCACAGAAACTATGAGAAATGTTTGTTACTCTAAACCATTAACTTTTGGGATAATTTGTGATGCAGCAACATGTCTTATTTATTATGGCCATATAATCATGAGAAAACTGAAGTTCTAAAATGTGCAGCAACTTGTTACAAAGCAAGTAACAGCTTTAGAGCTAAGTTCAAATCCAGGGACTCTAACTGAAGGCCCACACTGTGAATCAACTATGGTCAACTATTATTCTTTGAGAGCAAACAAGCCCACCATGCATAGGTATTAACTTGATCTTATTAGCATTATCATATAGTAATTAAATTTAATTCAGTAAACGTCAAATCCAGAAACTTACCCACTACAATAAAGTTTCCACACTTAGATACACATGCTGAAGATTCAATTCGACCTCCCAAAATCTGTTCCCATTTCACCTTTCCAGAGTAAAGGTCAACTGCCATCATTCTATGAGAATGGGACCCAATGTACACAGTTGCAGATGACTTATCAATAGCTGGTATTACAACTAGAGGTGACGCATCCACACATTTCCCTGTGTCTGACCTCCACCTCACACGTAACTCCATTTTTTCTGTCCCTGTCAGAAGTGGTCCCTCTTCAGAAACTTCTGCAACACAGGATGGATCTTTTGACTCCCCAGTAAGAGCTGAAGGATTTAAGCTTTTCATGTGTTTACTATTTGTCTGTGAAATTAAATCATTAGAATAGACTGAAGGGCAATGTCCTAACTTAGTCGTATTCAGAGCAGTATTCATAGATAAAATCTGACCCCCTCTGCTCAGTGCAATAAAAGCAGTTCTCTCATTGTCATAATTTAAAGGTATGACAGATTTTTGATGTAAAGATTTTCCATTGGGTTCCTCTTGATTAACGTTGCTGAATTTTCTTTTTGTGGCATAATTCTTGATAAGTGTCAGATGTTCATCTGGAAACACTGTTTGAAGGATGTGATTGTAAATCTCTAAAATAGAACTGCTAAGAATAATTTCCAGAAGCCCAGGTATGGATGTGCCAACAAGTTTTTCAATCTCACTGAGGAGCCGTATAGACTTAAAGGAATCTCCACCACTGCTTAGGAAGAGTGAGTCATCAGGAACCTTCAAAGGATCTTCTGAGAGACTCAGAACACACTACAGATGAGAGAAGGGAGAAATATGGTGACGTAAAGGCCTAAAACCAAAAGAATTCAACATTTACAAGTAATATATAGAGAGATGATAGTATACCTACATTAATTATATGAACATAAGATATACAATACATTTTTAGTAACTAAACTATGTTTTAAAATTATTTTCTTTATAGTAAAGGAGATCATCACTATGCTACCAATTTTGTCACAAACTTACTCTAAAACTGCAAATTATATTTTCCTTTACAGTAGTTTAAACTAATGATTTAGCCATAAAATAGGGAATAGAATTATAAAAACATCTAATTTACAATTAGCCCACAAGATACTAATATTTCATATAATATGGAAATAATATTTATCTCCATTTGTTTCACATAAATCAAAATTATTTTCCAAGAATCTAAAAATAAAGTAGATAAGACTTTTATCTGGATATTTTCTATTTTCAGATGAGACTATATATATACAATCACACCCTCTTTTCAGAACCCTTTTAGAAAACTTTACATTCTAAGAAAAACTGACCTACGGTTGTATTAAAAATATGTATTTCAAAAGAATCTTTAAAAATTGTTTGCTACATATTATTTATACACACACACAGTCCCTGACTTTCAATAGCTTGACTTATGAATTCTTTACCTTAATGTTGGTGCAAAAGCAATAAGCATTCAGTAGAAACTGTACTTGAATTCTGAATTTTGATATTTTCCCAGGCTAGCAATACATGGTATGATATCCTCATCCTCATGATGTTGTGCAGAGAGTGAGCCACAGCTCCCAGTCAGCCAAATGCAAGGGTATATAACCAACACATGTATAACCATTCTGCTTTTCACTTTCAGTACAGTATTCAATAGATTACATGAAATACTCAACACCTTATTATAAAATAGGCTTTGAGTTAGATGATTTTGCCAAATTTAGGCTAATGTAAGTGTTCTGAGCACGTTTAAAGTAGGCTAGGCTAAGCTAAAATATTCAGTAGGTCAGGTGTATTAAGTGTATTTTTCATTTACTGTATTTTCAACTTACAATGACTTTACAGGAACATAATCCCATCCTAAGCCAAGATCTGTATGTACAAATTCCCTTCAGCAGAAACTCATGTTGTTATTAAAAGTTCTTCTGGATTAATGTAATATAAGTTCTCATACCACAAACTGTGGTATAGTAAGATTTGGCTATTTTCTCAACTCTGGCAAGTGTGTTACTGAACTCCATTGCACCTCTTAGGGAAAAGTTATGTTGTGATAAGTTTTGTCTACTTGTGCTTTTTATGATCACCTCACTTCCAATAAATTTCTTCATGGGGGTCTTAATCTAATCTTACAGTAGAGAACCTAACCTTTAATACAAATAGAATAAACAAAGCTATACATCTGGGCAGCAATAATATTCTTAGAAAATCTTATCTGACTTATTAGGACACTATACCATTCTCTAAATATATAATATGACCCCCTTATTATAAAAAATCTGTATCTTAAAAGTTGTACCTTCCACAAATGCTGTAAGTTTTCCCAAAGCTCCTCTTTTCCGCTGAGCTTACATTCAGACTTCAAGTTTATGTAGTTTAAGTAAATCTTGTTTAACTCAGAAACATCAATTTTGCCTTAAAAGAGAAATAAAACATTTTAATTTTCAGCTCAAACCCCTTCTACTTTCATTAGTCTCAAGAATATAACATTTTTTTCAAATGTTAAAATTCCTATAAAATATGGTCAACATAGAAAAGAATAGGAACAACAAATGCTGGCGAGGATGCGGAGAAAGGGGAGCCCTCCTACACTGCTGGTAGGAATGTAAACTAGTTCAACCATTGTGGAAAGCAGTATGGACGTTCCTCAAAAAACTCAAAACAGAAACACCATTTGACCCAGGAATTCCACTCCTAGAAATTTACCCTACGACTGCAGGAGCCCAATCTCAAAAAGACATATGCACCCCTATGTTTATCACTATTTACAATAGCCAAGAAATGGAAGCAACCTAAATGTACATCAGTAGATGAATGGATAAAGAAGATGTGGTACACATACACAATGGAATACTATTCAGCCATAAGAAGAAAACAAATCCTGCCATTTGCAACAACATGGATGGAGCTAGAGGGTATTATACTCAGTGAAATAAGCCAGATGGAGAAAGACAAGTACCAATGATTTCACTCATCTGTGCAGCATAAGAACAAAGCAAAAACTGAAGGAACAAAACAGCAGCAGACTCACAGAACCTAAGAATGGACTAACAGTTGCCAAAGCAAAAGGGACTAGGGGGATGCAGGTGGGAAGGGAGGGATAAGGGGCATTTCAATTAGCACACATAATACAGCAGGTGGCACAGGGAAGGCAGTATAGCACAGAGAAGACAAGTAGTAATTCTATAGCATCTTACTATGCTGATGGACAGTGACTGTAATGGGGTATGTGGTGGGGACTTGATAATGGAGGGAATCTAGTAACCACAATGTTGCTCATGTAATTATACATTAATGATACCAAAAAATAATAATAATAATAACAATTAATTAAAATTAAAAAAATTTTAATTCAGTATCTGAGAAAAAAAAATCCTATAAAATAGTATGTGATAGATAATCAATCCTAAAGAAACCAGTTCCATGCTAACAAGAATGTAGAGGGTAACAGATAAGAAAGTAGGAGCTAATGTTTATCTTATTTAAAGAGTTAAAGAAATGGTCCAACCAATTGAGCAATGTCTGCATTTTGAAGTCAATATTAAATAAAGATGAAATTGGGAAGGCAATATAATATGGTGATTCAGAGCAAATTTTTTGAGGTCAAACAGTCCTAAACAGAATTTCAACTCTACCACTATTCAGCAACATAATTTTGGGAAAACTATCTATTCTTCTAAGCCTCACTTTTCCATATCTATAAATGGGAATAACATGATTTGCTCACAGGATTTTATAGAGATAAAATGAGTTGACTACACAAAGCATTTACAAGAGCATCTACCATGACATATGCTAGTATTACTTAAAGATTTAAGGAGCCTTTTAATTAGTTGTGAATACAATTAGTTTCATTTGGCATTGAAGTGTATCTGCTTCAAATTATTTTACCATGAGATGTAAATGGTAGAGAATCAATCAATACAAGCTCATCCGGGATTGCATGACTTGGGAGGTGTTTTTGAAGCTCTTTAAAGATGTAATCCTTCACTAAATTTTCTTCTGGCACCATGAACAGAATTAATTTCTCCTGATTATACCATGTAACTACACAAGATTCCACTTGCTGAAGTCCTTCAGCAACCTGTAAGAGAGGTTATCACAATTTACCTATGGGGACATTTAAAAACAAACTTTCTAAATGCTCAAACACATTAACAGAACCAAAGTAAATTCTGAAATATATTAGAGATTTAAAAAAAATTGTTACTCTTAGTATTAATGCCACACAGGATTCTTAATGTTTTTTCAAAAATAATAGCTCATAGAGCAAAATAAATCTATCTTCAGTTATCAAATCCATCATCTCACTTATTTAAATAACAACTATCTCTTCCTGCTGGGAATAGGAGGCACACTGAATTCCACACCTTTGATTGTAATTCTTCATTAATACACAAATCTTAAGTTTAAGTAATACTGAGAACCCTGACACAGAAAATTGGTGGTGGCCACCTCTAACGTTGACTAAATTTAGTGTCAAAATAGTTCTACCTGTTGCACAAATTCAATGTTAAGACGTTTGCCATGACGTTTGATCTGACTGTCTTCTCGTCCCAAGAAAAATATCTCTCCATCTTTCACAGTCACAAAATCTCCTGTGGCTCGCATTGTACCAAGTGGTACTGTCATTTCATCATCAAGAAAACAAATTCTGTTTCTGCCACCTTCACAAGATAATAAACACCAATGTAAGAGCAAAAAATCCATGGAAAATATATTAAAATCCATCAAATCAAAAACATCTCTAAAAATTCAGTTACTAAAGTTTCATTTATATTTTAAATATATATACAAAAAGGGGGGCTCACTTTTAAGTGTTAGCTGACAAAATTAGATACAATAACCTCAGTAAAATAAGCAAAGGGATAAAACAAAATTTCTAAGATCAGATGCGATTTAGAAAATTCTTACAATGCTGATTGAACAGAATTTTGGCTATAAAGTCCAGGTTATAATTTGTAAATTACTTTTATATCATTCCTTAGAGTATTAGACATTGTTGTCTGAAATAATATGGTAACTTACTAAATGTTTTGTGATAATAAGAATGAGATTAAAAATTATCCCTGAAAAGAGTACTGAATATAAGAAAAATTGAGCAAAGAATAAAATTAACATATAAGATTTCTTTTCTTGAAAAAAAAAAAAAGATTCCAGATCAACAAATAAAAAACTACCTAAAAATACTTGGCCATTGCCTTCTTGAATTGTGAAACCATTAGTATCTCTGACTTCAACTACTGTTCCATGCAGTGGAAATCCCAGCTGAACAGGCAATTCACATCTAGGAAAACACAACCACCCAAACCAGATTAAAATTTTTCATTTGAATAGAATATTTTCTAGTGTACTTAAATCACATTGTACCAAATTAAAAAAGAAGACAATTTTGTTATGCCATAATTCAAAGAATAACAAGAGGAAAAGGTTAGGTGGAAAGGCTATCATCTTATTGCTGTTTAATCACAAAAACTTAAAGCACCAGTTACAATAAAAGAAGTTCTTTATTCCCAGTTAAAATTCTAGATGAAATAGTGTTTCTAGAATTATTACCTCAGTGCCTATCAAAAAATACAACTGGTGTTAAGATACTGGAAAATGAAGTTTCTATCATATTTAGTAATTTAAACCCTTACTTAGAAGTAGAATTAAGGATCTTCTCTGGAATCCGGTAAAAAGTTGCCCAACTTGATACCTCTGTGATACCATAAACATTAAATATTTGCGTTTTATTGCCTTCTTCTCTCCAGCTTTTGAGAACAGTCAATGATGGAAATGCTTCGCCACCAAGAGCTAATACTCGAAGAGGAGTACTGGCTGATAAAACAGCTGACTTGATAAGCTGAGACCCAAATCTTCTAAACAATGTTGGTGTTGCCTGTAGATAAAGATAATTTTCCTTCACTTCTTTAGAAGTGTAAACACTGTAATGATTAGTTCATATCATATTTGGAGAACTACCTAGGTAGCATTATTTTCTTAAGTGGCTATCAATTTTGCTTTAGCAAAAAAATAAAAATATTAAAAATTTAATTAAATGTTAACAAAAAGGTTTGATATAAGAGGACAAAATCTATAAAATCGACTAACATTTCCTTTCCCACTTTATGTAGAAAAAGTATATAAAAGGATTAAAAAAAGTGCCTGAACAATATCAAGATTTTGAAAAACAGTTTTATTGAGGTATAACTGATGTAAGATATACATATTTTAAGTACACAATATAAACTTTGATTTAATATAGATACATCAGTGAAACCATCACCACAATTCAAAAAATGACCACATCCTTCAACCCTAAAATTAACTATGTAACATTGTAATTCTGCCCTCCAACTGAAAACCCTTCTCCAAACAACTGCTGATCTGTTTACTCTCACTGATGATCAGCTAGAATTTCCTAGAATACCCATAAAAATGTAATCATATTTGATCGGCTTATTTTACTCTACATAAATACTTTTTGATTTATCTATGTTGTATAAGTAGTTCACTCCTTTTTTTTTCATAGTCCATTCAGACTGCTATGACAAAGTACCACAGACTGAGTAAGCCATAAACAACAGCAATTTACTTCTCACAGTTCTTAGAGGCTGAAGTCTAAGATCAGGGCTCAAGTGCTCTGGTGAGAGCCCTCTTCCTGGTTACAGACTGCTGACTTCTTGCTGTGGAAGGGGCTAGGTGGCTCTGTGGGGTCTCTTTTACAACACTAATTCCATTCATGAAGGCTCTACCCTCATGAGTTAAGCACTCACAGACACCCCACCTCCTAAGACGATCACACTGGGCATTAGGATTTCAACAAATGAATTTGGGGTGGGGGCGGGGGTGCTGGGGAGGAATGACACAAACGCTCAGACATAGCACTTTTTATTCCTGAGGGGTATTTCATTGTGTGGATCAGGACTGGCTTTTGCATTTCCATATAAAATTTAGGATCAGCTTGTCAAATTCTACCCTTAAAAGTGTACTAGGATTTTGACAAGAACCATGCTTAATTTACAGATAAGTTTAGGGCAAGTGCAATCTTGACAATATAAAGACTTCCAATACACAAACATGAATGTCTCTTTATTTAGCTCTTTAATTTTATCAACAATGTTTTATAGTTTTCAGTATAGAAATCTTACTCATCTTTAAATTTACTCCTATTTTATTATTTTTGATGCTTTGTGAATATAACTTTTTTCTTAATTTCATTTTTGGGTTCTTCTATTACATAGAAATACAGTTGATTTGGTAGACTGATTTTGTATTCTCCAACCTTGCTAAACCTATTTATTAGTTCTAGTAGTTCCCCCTTCCTAATCCTCCAATGTCTTGAGATTTTCTATATATTTTATCATATGCAAATCATATGCATCATATGCAAATAAAGAGTTGTACCTCCTCCTGTCCAATGTGGGTGCTTAATAATTCTTTCTTTTCGTTTCTTTTTGCCTTTTGCACTGGCTAGAACCAGAATAATGTTGAAGAGAAGTAACAAAAGCAAACATCCTTGCCTTGTTCCCAATCTTAGGGTTAAAGCACTCGATCTTTCATCAAGTATGATATTAGTGAGGTCAGAGGAAGATGGCAGTATCGGAGGTCACCATGCTAACCTCCTCCCACGTACACACCACAGAAGCAACCAGATCAAATACAAGTAACTCTGAAAATGACAGACACCACAGAACAGACCGTCTACACCTAGCAAAGAAAAGACCACATTGAGGAGGGTAATTAATTGAACCACAATTAATTGATCAGAATCCAAGCCCTTCCTCCATCCCAGCCCACAAGAAGAAAGGAAAGGAACAGAGTGGGAGAAGAAAAAGGCTCAGGAACCTGAACACACCAGCTCTCGGGATCTTTTCCAGAAGACAGTCCCCATTGCACTGGGTTTTGAAGATTAACAAGGTTGGACATTAGAGAGAGTTGGAGCACTGTCAGGGGCTGAGACTTCAGTTGCTTGTGGAAGACTAGCATGCTCTGTTGATTCTCTCTGAGACCCAACACAGAGGCAACAGTTTGAAAGATTTGCTAGCCTTAGGAAGTATGCCAAAGGGGTGGAGGTTTGTGGGAGTTCTCTCCAGAGGAGAAAGGGCAGATGGATGACACTTTCCCAGCCCTCCCTTACCCCAGCTGGCCGGACACTTGCAGAAGCCAGCTCTGAAACTCTCCACCTATGCTGCTGGCTCAGCCCTGACACTCCCTTGCAGATCTGCCCAATTCAACATGCTCAGCCCAGTAGTCGTCAGCCACTGCTGCAAGTCAGGCACAAAGAGGATAGCAGTGGGAATCTGCCATCACTGGCAGGCAGGCAGAAGGCAGGCCCCACTCACAGCCCACAACAGCAGTTACAGCTCAGCCATAACAGAGAACCAGGAGCTGCTGAGCAGGGGGTTTTGCACTTCTGGACACCACAGGACACACAGCACATAAAGTCACTACTTTTAAGACCAGGAAGCATAGCTGATCTATCTAATACAAAGGAAGAAACACAGAGACCCAGAAAAAATATGGAGGCAGAGGAACATGTTTTAAACAAAAGAACAAACCACCAGAAAAATGGCTAAAACAGAGATAAGCAACCTTCTTGATAAAGAATTCAAAGTACCAATCATAAAGTTGTTCACTGAACTGGGGAAAAGAACTAACAATCTCAGTGAGAACTTCAACAAAGAGAAAATATTAAAAAGAGATATTCAGAGCTAAAGAATACAATAACTGAAATGAAAATCATAATAGAAGTAATCAATAGTAGGTTAGAGGAGGCAGAGGAGTGGATTAGCAAGCTGGAAGACATGGTAGTAGAAACTAACAAAGCTGAGACACAGAGAGAAAAAAGAATTTCTAAAAATGAGAAATTGCTAAGACAGCTCTGCAACAACTCCAAAAAAAACAATATTTACTTAATAGGACTCATAGACACCAAGAAGGGACTAGTGGTTACTAAAGGGGAAGGTTTGGAGAGGGTAGGTGGGGAGGGGGACAGGCATTAAGGGGCACTATAATTCACAATCACAATATAGGTGGGTCACAGGGATGGAGCATGGAGAATACAATTAATGACTCTATCACATCTTAGTATGCTGATAGACAGTGACCACAGTGGAGGGGATGAGGATTTGATAATACAGGTGAATGCTGAACCACTGTGTTGTGTATTTGAAACAATCATAAGATTGTGTATCAATGATACTTTAATAAAAAATATATATATTCACCTAATAAGGTTCCCAGAAGTAGAGAAAGACAAGGGGTAGAAAGTCCATTTGAAGAAAAAATAGCTGAAAATCTCCCCAACCTGGAGAAGGAAACAGACATCCAGGTTCTGTAAGCACAGAGAGCCCCCAACAAGATGAATCTAAGGAAAGCCACACAAAGACACATAATAATTAAAATGGCAAAGATGTAAGATAGAGAATCTTAAAAGCAGCAAGAGAAAGGCAGACAGTTACCAACAAAGGAAACTACATAAGGCTATCAGCAGATTTTTCAGCAGAAATTTTACAGGCCAGGAGGGATGAAATATTCAAGTGCTGAAAGGGAAAAATCTACAACCAAGAATACTCTCTCTACCCAGCAAGGTTATCATTCAGAAATGAAATGAAGATTAAAGTTTTAGATAAATGAAAATTGAAAGAATTCACTACCACTTAACCAGCTTTCCAAGACAAGATAAAAGGGCCTTCTTTAGATGGAAATGCTTTCAAGTTGAAATTTTTTTCATTAGTGAAAACAAACCTGAGGTCCTGAACAGACACTTCTCCAAAGAAGAAATTCAGATGGCTAACAGGCACATGAAAAGATGCTCCACATCGCTAATCATCAGGGAAATGTAAATTACCACAATGAGATTATTCCCTCACACCACTTAGGATGGCTAACATTCAAAAGGCAAGGAACAACAAATGCTGGAGAGGATAGGGAGAAAGGGGAACCCTCCTTCACTGTTGGTGGGAATGTAAATTGGTTCAACTGCTGTGGAAAGCAATATGGAGTTTCCTCAAAAAACTAAACATAGAAATACCATTTGACCCAATCATTCCATTCCTAGGAATTTACCCAAAGAAAACAAAATCCCTGATTTGAAAAGACATATGCACCCCCATGTTTACTGCAGCACTATTTACAATAACCAAGATATGGAAGCAACCTAAATGTCCATTAATAGATGAATGGATAATGAAAATGTGGTACACATATACAATGGAATATTATTCAACCATAAAAAGAAAAGAAATCCTGCTTTTTGCAAGAACATGGATGGATCTAGAGGGTGTTATGTTCAGTGAAATAAGTCAGGCAGAGAAAGATAAATACCAAATGATTTCACTCATTTGTGTAATACAAAAACAAAGCAAAACAGAAGGAACAAAAAAAGCAGTAGACTCATAAACACTGAGAAGGAACTAGTGGTTTCCAAAGGGCAAGGTTTGGAGAGGGTGTACAGGGAAGGAGAAGGGGATTAAGCAGCACTAATTCACAATCACAACATAGGTAGGTCACTGGGATGGTAGTACAGCACAGAGAATACAATTAATGACTTTAACATCTTACTATGTTGACAGACAGTGACAGCAATGGAGGGGGTTAGGGTTAATAATATTAGTAAATGCTGAAACTACTGTTTTGCATATGTGAAACCATCGTAAGATTGTTTATCGATGATACTTTAATAAAAAAAGAAAACAAACCTACAATAAAGGTAGTAGACCAATCACTGACAAAGCTAGTATAAAGTTTAAAAGATCAAAGTAGTAAAATCAACTATATACAAAAGTAGTCAAGGGATACAAAATAAAAAGATGTAGGTTATGACATATACATAAAATGTGTATGAATAAGAAAAAAGTAGAATTATTAGAATGTTTTCAAAATTAAGTGACCATC